CTTTTCCTCCAGTAAGTGGCTTTCTATCTGGTCTTCTTTACACAAGAGTGAGAAATATCTGAAAAGCTATCCAAGCCACATATTCAACTAGATATGTAAGTATTATCAGTTTAGTGATTGGTGTTGGCTTACAATGGGAGGCGTAATCTTTCTTTTTCCTTAAACGTTAGATGAATAGTTTGTGTGAGAAAGAGAAGGAAAAATAGGATATAAAATTTTCCAAACCGGTGAAAGGCTGGGTGAAACACATCAGGAAAAGGGTGTGTTAACTCTGCTAGAGGCAAGAGAGAAGGCTGTAGATGCTGGCTGTGAAAACCTCTTATTTCACAAGTTTCACACTCCAAATGTCTTCCCTTTGTTTTGGTGTGAAATGAAGAGGGCAGGAATAAGAGTAAAAAAAAAAAAAACCACAAAAATCACTCCAATATTTAGAAAACAAGCATTGATTTTGTTAGTTCACTTGTACTTTGTGAAAACTTGGTTTGTGTGACTTTTCTTCAAATACAGCAGACTTCTGTACTTGTCAAGCAATTATTTTCAAAAGAAGAGCTACCTAGTTTGGGCTAGGTGCAGCTAAGGATCAGGACAATTAGTTCTGTAGTATGAAACAAGAAACAGCTCTTCATATAAATATCACACAACCAGATACTATACACAAAGCTGGACTGCACAGCAGTGACAACTGTGGTTCTGGAAGCTGCAAACAACTAGTTCACCACAAGAAAAATTGCACAAGAGCAAAAGCATTATATTGATTGAGTGGCTAATGATGTTGACCATTTTCTGCTGATCATATATATGGTGTATAATACATATATATATACATAGGGAGATAACTTAAACTTAGCATATCTGAGAGATGGGTTGTAAGAGTTCTCCCAAACCAGGGTGCTGCAACGCCTCAAGCACCCTATATCTTCTTGTGCTATGAGCAGTACTACTGATTTCTCTGCAGGTAGTCTGCATTTAACAAATGCTTTAAGCATTCCAGGAATTGCAAAATAAAAGTACAAAAAAATTTTAATTAGAAAGAAAAAATTAGCCATGTCTAGTGGTGCCCAGTGAAAGGACATGAGGCTACAGGCACAAATTGGCAATACACGAAGTTTTCATTAAACATAAGGGAAGAGCTTCTTTCAGTCAAACATGGAAACAAGTTGGCCAGAGAGCCTGTGGAGTCACCATTATTGGAGATATTCAAAGCTTGGCTGAACACAACTCTGAACAATTTGCTCTATTTGACCCCACTTTTGAGCTGGGGCTTGGACTAGAATTTGTCTAGAAATCCCTTGCAATCTCAGCTCTGCTCTTCTGTGATTCTGTGAAACTGAGAAAGTCAATGTCTCTCATTCAGCTTAGTATTCTTTGGGGTTAATTGAAACAAAACGTGATTTTTCAAATTATCCTTGTATGCCATCATACACGTGCACGTGGTAGCAGTAACCTGCCTGCAGAACTTTCTACTTCTTACATGGATGTACCTCTTCACCCTAAAATGAGAACCCAGCACATACAATCTTCTGTAGTACCTCATGCCAAGTATATGTAAAAGCTAAAAGCTGAAGGAAGGAAGTTCAGAGGCATAAAAAATGTCTTTCAGAGCATGCATCTTGTCTTCTTTTTCCTTCCTCTCCTTTATTCTCTTGCCTTCCTTTTCCTGTGCATGGTACTGGCTCAGGTAAATGTGGATGGCACTACTTTTTTTTTTACAACACTGCAGCAAAAAGAGGCGACTGCTCAGTAACATGTAGCTTTCTAACTTGTCCAAATGTTTTCTGCACAGAACTACTACACTGTTTGTGCTGGCTTTGAAGTTGCCATCTCTTTGAATCCTGAGGCTTTCCCTGCACATTCCGGTGCTAAGAAAAGCAGATGTGTGAGTCAGTTCAATCCAAAAGAAAGGAAGGCTGTGAGGACAGCAGAAGCTGGGTTTGTCAGGAGAAAACCCATGACATTTTGTTCTTTCAGTCAGGTGTGCTTGGCACCTGAAACTACTACCAGGAATTTTGCAGTGGCAAGAACAGAGAGTGGAGGTAAAACAGTGCTGGTGGGTGTGTGCATGTGAAAACTGGAAATTTGGTTTCTGCAGACTGATGGTGGACTAAAATTTCCTGCACCAGAATTAAGGGAAGAAACCAGGGAAAAACACTCTCACCCTCTCCCCCCCCACAATAAAACAGCTAAATCTGAGGCATCTAGAGCTTACAGAATAGAATAATATAACAGAATATAAGAATATATATTCTTAAACACTTGTTAGGATGCTTAAAAATAACTTTTATTTCCAATGGACGGTTTACATTTTTTAAATTAAACCTTTTTATGCCTTGCCTTTTTAAATGTGTCTAGGAAACAAACTGGAGTTCTGAACGTGGGGAGCAAAATGGGGAGCATAGGGCAAGATGATAAGAGATTATTAAGGGAATAAATTCTGCTGCTATTTGGATAGGGGACAAAGTTTTCTTTTTAACACCTTTTCACTCGGCAGCTTTCAGGTCTTTATTTTTCCTTGTTGCTGTGGTTTTTTGTCAAGCTGTTAATGGAAAATAATGTAAGTTAAGCAAATCATCTCATTCAGGATAAATAGAACACAATTGAAAATGAGGTGGTTGCGATACTTACAAACTTGAAAGTGCCTTTTCTGAAATTATATAATTGCTTGCAGTAAAAAAAAAGAAAACCACAAAAATGAAACAAGGTTGCGCAAGATTATTTAACTATTATCACTGACCTGAACAAAAAATTTTATCTCTATAACACGAGAAACTTGTGACTTTGTTCTTGTATTTGACAAAGCTCATTTACACTAACACCAAAAAAAACCCTTCACCCAAAATAATCCACTGAGGCCCAGTCCCACTTGCTCTGATGCCAATGTCAGCTCTAATGGGAATTTAAGAGTAGAATTGAGTGCATGTCTAACATGTAGGTGACATTTATAATGTCACATTATATTATTTATAATATTTTCTCGATGCAGGCTTAGAATATAAAGTATAACTGAGTGATGTATTTCTCCAAAAAAAAAAAATAGAAAAGTACCCCATAATGACTCACTTTTTTTTTTTTTTTTTTTTTTAATTACATGTAACTTTTATGGAGGGACTACAGAGACTTCATACTAATTTTGAAACCTTGTTCTTAAAAGCAACAGAACCATTTTTCCCACGCTGGTACACTTGTCCTTCCCGCTATAAACAGAGAGGCAGATTTATATGTGGAGTTCTGGAAATCTCTTTACAGGATCTAAAAACAGCCTTTCAGTTTGTGAGAATTTTGCCATGATAAACTACATCTTGTAGTTTGTTAAAATGGAAGTGCTGAGCATGACTGGAGAGAAGGAAATTCCAGATCTCCGCAAGTAAATATGTTGCTATTTCTAATAGTTAATAGGAAAGTATTTCCTAATCTCATCATTAGGGCAAAGCTCAGTACTGGTGTCTTGAGACTTGGACTAGACTGACTTGGAGAACACTTGATGATAAGGTAGCAGAAAAATGTATTTATTAGCAGGAACCTTTTATCAGTTTTTATATCGTGGCAATTTGGGATATGAGCAAACAAAGCAATGGTGTACTGAGAAGTGAAGGTTAAAATGTGTATACTTGCAGCAGCCTTTGAAATACTCACGAGGCAAATCTACACTTGTAGTTAACATGTAGTTAACATGTAGTTAACATGGGGAAGGAAAAGTGATATAACAGCTGGAAAAAAAGGAGGAGCGAGAAAGAGGAGATAATCTTGCTCTGAGTACAGAAGGCCTGTGAGACTTGTTTTAAAAACCCTCACCTTCGGTGGTACTAATTTACTTTGTAAAATTCACAACGTCCTTTTTTTTTAAGATGTACATACTTGTAGAGCCACCCGCACGTTAACGCCTGACTGAAGATAACAGTCCTTGTGAAGGACTTCTGGCTACCTGTAGAGAACATTTTACAATTACTCAGTCCACAGCTCCGCATCTCCTACCCATAACATCTGCTAGTTCACATCAAGACGGGCAGCTACTTCTCCAAAATTCTGCTCCTGATTTACGCATGACCCCCTACAAAGCGAATAACCAAACGCAACACATTCACGAGTGCTACTTTTCCCTCGGCAGCTCTGCACACGGCAGATCCTCGACGGGGTAAGGAAGGGATGTCCTGCAGCAGCTGGCACAAGGGGAAGGAAGTGGAGTGTGACTGGAGCGCGGAGCTGCTGCATTTGCAAGGCACGAACTGTTGTGTTGCTGTTGGAAAGGTTCTGGGGAGCAACGGAGTTCGGGGACGGAGAGATGTGTTAATAATTAAGGCAAATGCCTACACTTGACAGCTTAAATGAGGGGATCACTTCACGTACTGGAATTTTGTGCGGTGATTGAACTGCAATGCTTCACTTATTTTAAACGCTGTTTACACTCGGTAAGCGAGCTCATGCACTCGGCCGCTGATGGCCCCGCCGGCCGTGCCTTCGGGCCGGGCTGCCGGCGGCACCGGGAGCCGGCGCTCCGCAAGCCCCCGGCGCGTCCGTGCGCACCTCCATGCACGGCTGCGGGAAAGCGCCGCGCCGCGAGGAACACACCACCCTCCAAAGGGCTTTCCAAAAGGAATAAAGGGACGAGAAGGGAAAACTCCCACGTGCCGATAACAGCTCAACTGTAACATTCAAACGTCCCAAGGCTCAGCCGCAGCTGGGCGCTCGCCCGTCCATCCGTCCCTCAGCTCAGCCTTCACCGCGGGGCCGGCCGGGAAACGGCCCCCCCCGCCGAGCGCGCACGGAGCTGCGGGGTCCGTGCGGGCGGCGGGGCCTGGGCGGCGCTTCCGCGCTGGGCGGGGCGGAGACAGCGCCGCGAGCCAATTGGCTGCTCCGAGCCGGGAGGTGCGCCCCGCGCTCGCAGCGCCCCGTGATAGGACGAGGAGGGCAGAGGGGGCGGGGCGCTGCGGTACGGCGCGCCCCCGTTGGCCGCTTCTCTCGCCTGGGCGAGGCGGGCGCTGCCATTGGCCGCCTGGCGGGGGGGAGGCGAGTCCGGCGGCAGCGGCCTCCGGGGCTGGGGTCCGTCTCGGCGGCAGCGGCGGAAGTCTCGCGAGGGAGCGCGGCCGGGATTTGGCGGTGCTGCCTGCCTCCCTCCCTCCCTCCTCCCTGCCTGTCGCTGGCTGCGAGGCGCTGGTGTTTGTGTGGAAGGGGGAGGAGGAGGAGAAGGAGGGCAGGCGAAAGGAGCTCGAGCCCCACCATCCGCCGAGGGGAGCGGACCGGAGCCCCCTCGCCGCCCGCGGAGCTCTCTTTCCCTCCCTTCGCCCCGCCATGGCCTCGGGAGACACCCTGTACATCGCCACGGACGGCTCGGAGATGCCGGCCGAGATCGTGGAGCTGCACGAGATCGAGGTGGAGACCATCCCGGTGGAGACCATCGAGACCACCGTGGTGGGCGGCGAGGAGGACGAGGAGGAGGAGGAGGAGGATGAGTGCTGCGAGGAGTGCGGCCCGCACCACCCGCCCCATCACTACCACCACCACCAGCCCATGATCGCGCTGCAGCCGCTGGTGTCGGACGGGGACCCCAGCGGGGCGGGCGGCGGCGCGGCCGGCGGCGGCGGGGGGCAGCTCCACCTGCACCACCACCACCAGGAGGTGATCCTGGTGCAGACCCGCGAGGAGGTGGTGGGGGGAGACGACTCGGACGGACTGCGGGCCGACGACGGGTTCGAGGACCAGATCCTCATCCCTGTGCCGGCCCCCGCCGGGGAGGACGAGTACATCGAGCAGACCCTGGTCACTGTGGCCGCCGCTGGCAGCAAGAGCGGAGGCGGCGGCTCCTCCTCGGCCGGCGGAGGAGGCCGCGTTAAGAAGGGCGGCAGCGGCAAGAAGAGCAGCAAGAAGAGTTACCTGAGCGGGGGAGGCGGCGGCGGGGCCGAGGGCGGCGGCGGCAGGAAATGGGAGCAGAAGCAGGTGCAGATCAAGACCCTGGAGGGGGAGTTCTCGGTCACCATGTGGGCCTCGGGTAAGTGTGCTCCGGACCCCTCCCTCCCTGGGCCGCGGGCCCCGCCAGCGGCCGCGCGGTGCGGCCGGGACAGTTTTGTTTTGAAGGGAGGCCATGTTTTGATGTGTGCGATGGGCGCCGCCATGTTCATCGCCAGGGCAAGTATGGCGGCTCCCCGAAAAGATGGCGGGGTCTGCGCTGCCGCCGCCGCTCCTGCCCGGCCGCGGCGGGGGGAAGGAGGCAAACATGGCGGCGGCCGCCAAGATGGCGGCGGCGGGGGGTGCGCGGGCGGGCGGCAGCGCCGCCGGCTCCCGGGCCAGGCCGCAATGGCGTAGTTTCTGCAGCAGGGGGAGGCGGGGTGCGGGGCGAACCTCCCCGCGCTCCCCCCCGCCCCCCCCCCGCCCCCGCCCCGCCGCCGCTCCCCGCGGGGCCCGCTCCGCGCCTGCCCCTCGCACTCCCTCCCCTCCCCCGGCCGCCGCCGCCCTCTGTCCTCCTTCTCCCCCGTGTCCCGTCCCGCCGACCCTCCCCGGCTCCCTGCCTGCCGTTCGGCTCCCGTCCTTCCCGCCCCGCGGCCGCGGGCGAGGCGTGTGCGCCGGGCCGTGACCGCGATGTGCTAGCGAAAACTCGCCCGCCCCGACCCCGCGGCTCCCCGGCCCGGGGACGGCGAACCCCGAAATACCGTGTACAGCTCGCCCGGGGGCCGCCCGGCCCCGGCCCGCTGCGGTGGGTGGGGCCTCCCCGCCCGGAGCCCGCGGTGCCGGCGAGGGGAAGCGGCTCCTCGCCCCCGCGGGGCTGCCCGCGCCTCCCGCCGGCTCGGAGGGGGCGGCCGCAAACAACCGGCCCTTCAGAGCCCGAGGGGCGCCGGGGGTGACGGCCGGGAGGGGCGGCTCCGGAGCTGACCTCCGTCCCTGGGAGCCGCGGGGAGGAAAGGGGCAATTCCTGGCTGGCGCTCGGAAACCGTCGGGCTTTTCCTCGACTAGGTCTGAAGCTTTAAATAAGCTTTTTAAGTAGGCACAGGGAGACCTTGTCGTGGGAGATTCTGGTTTTTTGAGGATTTTTTTTTTTGTGTGTGTAGGAGTGTCTTTTAAAGGCAGTAAAATCTTGTGAAGGTGTTTAGTATCTATGGGGCTTGGAGTAAAGCTGACATGCACCTGCCCTACCCACTTTATTTTTTTTTTTTTTTTTTAATTTTTGCAAAAATTATTGCCGGCAGCAATGCTCTGTAATCAAAGTTCTGTCCATAAGTTACATAAGCGTGAAAAAAAGAGGTCAAATAATACAGTTCTTGTAATATTTAAATTGATGGGTGTTTTTTGAATAGTAAGTTGGTAATCAGTAATAGTAAGTTGCATACCATAATTTTTGTGCTCTTTCGAATTTTTCAGGAGTCTAGTAAGATAGAGATACTCTTGAACCTTTTGATGTAGTCGAAAATGTTTGTACTCTGTGATGCTTGCAAATGACTAGAAGTTTTGTAGAAAGGACAGTGTAGAAGGGAAGGTGTATTGGACAGCTGAGTTCTCCTGCCTGAAAGATAGAAAGCACAGTGGTACGGATTTTTGCTCTCGTTTTAAATACAGGTGACTACTTTAGCAAGTTTCACAGAGTTATCTGACACTATTGGCATGTGAGTTGACAACCCAATGAGTTTGAAATTCTTTACTTCTTGACAAAGAGTTTTCCATAAACTGTTTAGGATGGCGTTCTCTGTGCTTCTGTATCACTGTATGAAACTGAATAAATTCCCTTGCTAGTAGTTTTATTAGAACTGACCATCCAAGAAAGATAAAAGATAATAGAAAATAATACGGTCTGCAGGCTTGTGGAAGCTGCTGGAGGTAGCTGAGTGCAAGTGGCTGAATGACTCATGAGCTGGCAGGATGCAGGACCTCGCTGAGATCAATTGACAATTTCTAGCATGCATTTGCACTCGAAAATTCAGAGTGCCTGGTAGGATGCTTCCTTAGGACTGCATGCTAATTATTACTTGGCCAGAGTGAAGCATGTGTATAATCAATAAATTTGCTTGTCTTCCCACATACACAGCTTTTATGTCAGGGGTAGCCTTGTTGATTTTGGTGGTTTTCTTGTTTAGGAGCATGACCATGGAGCTCAGTAGGAACGATACCTACTTATAATTTACTGGACATTGAATTGCATTGCTACATTTAACTCAATTATATCCATGATGCAGAAGAATAAAGAATACCTAGTCTGACTTGACTTGCCAGAAAATGCCCTTCTAAAAGCAAAATCAAATATATGGGGAAAAAGTTTGACTTCCCCTCCCTTTGCACTTGCAGACACCACCTGCCAGCTTCAAACAGCCTTGATAATAACCTGCTCAGTTGAGAGTGTTGTGAAGTTTTACTGAGAATATTGGACAGGCTCTTACATTGTCATATGCAGCTTATTTATTTAAAGGGGGCTGATGTGGTCAAATGCTGGGGATCTTTTTTCCTCTCTTTTTTATAAAAAAAAAATATATTTTGCCTTTTTTTGTCTTGAAACATCAGAGGCTGAATCGTTGCCAGAGAAGTCAAAAAAGAAACAAAACTTGAGGCAGAGGGGTATACACCCAAACCCAAAAAACTCTCCAACCTGAGTACCCTCCCCCAAAAACCTCAAACTAAATAAAGGCCAAAAAAACCTAGAATCACTGGCTTGCAAAAGTGTAGTTGTAAAGTTTCCCTGAAGAATTAAACTACTTTATTTTGAAGAAATATAGTAGGTTTGAATCTGTATTTTGGCATAATTACAGATTTGCTTGGACGCTGATTCACTTGACTGTTTTAAAAGCTAAGTGAAAAGTTAATCAAAAGACAAGTGATAAATAAGGCCATGCATCAAGACAAAACAATGAGCCCTATATTGCTGTGCATGGGATTTTGAATTGGGAAGAAGGCTGCTTGGCTCACCACAGTGTGGGAAGACAATGTGAATTAATTCCTTGTTACTGTTTGCTGGTGCTGCTACATTGGCTTGTACAGGGGTGGTACTAAATTTAACCAATCATAAATCTCTTTCCATAAATGAGTATAACATGTCTTGTAGCGCCTCTTGAAATGTGTAGGAATAATCTGTGAAATACATAGCAATGTGACTAAAGGGGGCTACTTAATCCTTGTCTTATTATGTGGTTTCTCAGAAATTGCAGTACTGTTGTTGGCAACAATTTTGACTTCGCATAACTTCTCTTATCACCTTGGTATCTATGGTGATATCAAACTTGTGACCCATGATTAAAGTGTTTAGTTTGAAACATGAGTGCCTTGTTCTAGTTCAGATCTAGTTTCAGTTCTTAAGAATACAATTATTTGTCTTTATTCATGTGTTCATGGAAGTAAGAAGTGAATGAAGGTGTATTTCTGAAAGGGTTGAAGAGGGCATATGGTGGATAGTTCAACCACATTCTTGTAGTGTGTTTACTTTATATCAAATATATGTATCAGAAAATTGCATATAGCTAAATCGCATCTAGTCCAAGTGAGACACTCCAGTTTGTACTAGAAAAAATGTTCTTATCAAATGGAATTTATTTGTACCTTTGCTGCATTCAGCTTGAATTGTTGTCTTTAGTGAGGTTTTCCAGGTTGGGTGCACAATAGTGAAGGGGGAGGGGAAGGATCGTGAGAAATCACTTTGTCAGATGGTGCTTGCAAAACTGATTCTTGCATGCAGGAACATTTGGGAAGGTGGTGCTTAAATGCTGGTTGCACCAAATGCTGGAAATTCCAAGCAACTGGGGCTTAAATTCAAAGATGAAAAAATGGATTAGTATAACTACATCTTCTAGGTAACGACTCTGTCAAGCTTCCAAACCTGAAATAGGTGTTGGCTTAAACTGTTATTGTAAGCATAGTCTGCAAGCTAAGGGCTGAAGTAGCACAACCAAATATTGCCCACAGATGTTAAACTGCTCAAGTGTCCCATCCCTAGATGGGAAAGACAAAGACACAGAAGTTACATGTATCTTTTGGAAATTATTTTCCATAATACAGGAAGCCTGTGCTGTGGACCCTTATTTGGAAGTTTGAGAGTTCATATTGGGTTTCTAGAGGGTTCTTCAAAATCTCTTAAACTTTAAATGCCTCAAAAAATAGAAAGGTTTTCATTTTACTTCGTCAGACTGCAGGGGTGAGAAAAATAACCATCTGCTGTCTGACCACTTGTCTTTTGTAGTATAAATGATAGATGAGTCACTTAGTTCAGTTGTGGGACTATATCAGGGATGGCTGAAATGCTTTGCAGTGTCAGATAGGTAATGAGCTTCTTACAAAGTTTGTTATAATGGAGGCAGAAAGTGATTTTCCAGTTTAAAATATTAAGATGACAATCTATTTCTGACTCAGATTAAGACAATGATACAGGCTTCTGTTGTAAGTATTGAATCTGCCCTGACATTTTTTCCAGTGATAAGGTAGACTGTTCTCTGTGTTTGTTTTAAATGTATTTTCAGTTTTGAAAGCGAAATACACAAATGTGGTTCACCATCTAAAATGACTCAGTTAATTTGCTTCTTAGCCCACCTTCAGACTACAGTCCTCTAAATTGCTGTTGGTTCCTTCCCTGGGGCACTCGAGTCACTCCTGTGCTGACCATTCAGAAGGTCACAGTGCTTCAGCACAGTCTCATAAGTGCTGGAGTCAGATGATGACTGTTGATATATGCACTGGTTTTGTCAGTTCACGTCTCAGTGGTGTGAAATAAGAGATGGGTGACACAGGGAAAGAAGAACCTGTTCTCCATCTGTGTGCAAGGCACGTCAGAAGGAAAGTAACCTAGCAGCCGTTTAGGTTAAAAAATGACATACTGTGCAAAATGGAATTTTAACATTCAGAAGTGTCTGCTAAATAACTGTATTATTTAACAAGCTAATTATGGTTCTTTGCTTCCAAACATGACCAATGAACTAATTTGCCTGAGGAGATTGCAATGTGGTAGCAATAACCAAGCTGTTACCACAGTGCCTTGGTACTGCACAGCTGCCGAATACATCCTTTATCCTGTAATTGCTTTTCAGCTGTTCCTAAAAGCAAATGTGTTTAACTGTGTGATCATATTTTAAGCTTAAATGTTCATCCTTTTAGTAACTAAGTAGAATGTCTTTTAATTTGGTGCCTTGAGGAGGAAGCTGTAGGATCAGGTGTCATTGCTTTGCTACCAGGTGTATCTTGAAAGCTCTCTTTTGCACCCTGTTTTCCTCAGATGAAAACTGATTGAACAACAATGTGTTTTCCCTTCTCAGTAATAGAGAAGGAGGATGGCTCAGAGATTTGGTGATTTAGATAAAATCAAGAATAACAAGGAAAATCAAGAATAAAACTTAGAAAAAATAATGACAGAGCTTCTTGGGTTGAGAGTTAAGAGGGTCATCTTAGCAAGCTGGGGAGTTCCAGAGTTGTCAGCTGCAACTCAAGAAATGCACAAAATAATGGGATTCCAGGGTGGGTGGATTTTTCTGTGTAATAGAAGGGCTGTAAGAGATGGAGAAATTGTGGTCATAGGAGCAAGATGAGATCAATAAAGTATTGGGAAGCAGATTCTACCATGTTTTGTTATTGATTTGTTGCATGGAGTTAGTAGTTTCATTCCAGTAATCTTGGTTCTTCCTACTTCATTCAATACTTGGGCTTGGTTCTCTTAAAACTTCAGGTTGTTTCAGCAGTAGTCACAAGACACAACTGGCTAAACACTGAACTTTCACTGATCTTAGCAGAAAAATGTTTGACATACTTGCTATGAAGGGCCTAAGTGGATCTGGTTTAATATGTATATTGCCCATATTTAGGGGGCAGTGAGAGATGTGCAGATGGAAGGGCACTGAACATGAAGGTGTGTTAGGGTATGTCCTAAAAGAATGCATAGAACAACCCAGTTTAGACTAAGTATCTGCCTTAATGCAAGTTGGCATAGAAGAATGCAGGGGAAGTCCATTAAAATTGTGTTCCAAGTTCATTACAGAAAGCTGCGTTGGATCTTTAAGAATAGTGCTTCAGCTGAATGCCTTATATTTGAGTCTGCTCTTGTCTCACGTGGTTGTAAGGGACAAAACAAAGTAGATCAGACAGTATATATAGTACTTAATTTCCTTTACCTGACTGGCTCTGTGGTTCTGTCTGTATATAACTCCCATGGGTGGCATCCAGAGGTGTCACTGTAATTTCAGGGTTGTGTCTGTGTTTTGCTTTGCTTTGGACGCAGTATGTTTGATTCCCTGATGCTTCATGAGAGGAAGAGGGGGAGGTAATTTGCCTGTAGTGGGCATTAGGACTTGCTTGAACGCAAAAAAACAGCAAACAGTTAACTTGTCCAGTTTGCAGTGAGAATGGTCGGTTCAGCCTGAGTGAAAGTTTGCTTGCACTTTACCCTGCAGACTTTGAGCTGCCTAGTCCAGGTTGATAGGCCATCACAAATAAAGTAAATTTGTACATAGAGGACATTGGTAAAATTTTTCAATTTCCAGACTTCCTCCAAAAGTGTGTGTGTGTGGGGGGTTTCTTTTGTGTGTTTTTGTTGTTTTCCCAATGACCTGATAATGTCACAGGTGGGTCATGATGCTAAAGAGGTACTGAGGTAGTCTGCTGCTACTTTTGCAGAAATATTAGCCTAATATTACACTTCAGGGTAACTGTTTTGTATTTTATTGTTTTGGTTTAAATTTGTTTTTGGAAATGTGTGCTGCTGTAGAGGCGCAGTTTTTTGTTATAGGAAAACGTGGTGTTTTTTTTTATTTTCATATAACTGTTAATATACTAAACAGTCATTTTTCTTATGTTTTGTTCTATCCAAGCAATATGTTTATAGTTTTTTGTTTTGCTCCAGTAGTCTGTGGAATTCTATAGCTATAGAATTGACTTCTGTTGGCAGGCTTTTGGGAAGTAAAGCCACTGAAGGCTGGCTTTCAGTTTGGTCCTCAAATAGCAAGAAAGCACTGTGGAATAGCAAACCTTTGTGTTGGAGAAAGAAAGAAGATCTTTAAGAATGTATACAGAATTTCCTAGTTGACTCATCTGATGTGAGGCAGGAAATGAAAAGTTGAATATGAGTGTCATCAAACAGTCAAACTGCACATTCTAGGTAGATGTTGAAATGGCCACGTTGAAGGCAGCTGATCTCATTCTAGTCTCAGCATAGAGAAGGTGTCACGTTTAGCTTTGCAACAATTCTGTGCCATTCTTAGCTCCCAGTCTTTTTTCAAGTTTCTGTTAGAAAGAACAAGTTGTTGCCAAACTAGAGGCTTATTGGCTTGAATTTGTAACTCCTTCAATTGCTGTAAAACTTAACATATAATCTTCGCTTAAGGTAAATTCAGTTGCTTTTTTAAATCACTGGTAGGGTCTGAAAGGTAGTGTGGTGGTGAGTGGACAACTAAAAAGGTCAATAGTCAGTTTTGTGGTTTATTTTGAGTTTAACGCTGCAGATAGTATTTTCTTATTTACACTTCTGTCTTTGCAGCATTGGAGTCTGTTTTCCTCTTTCACCATGGAATATACATGAACTGCTATTTGATCTGGTAGATCAGATTAAACCTCAAACTAGCAGTAACATTTCTAGAAATAGCTTGGTGGCAAACATTAAAAGCGGGCATTACAAATTGAATAGAAATTTGTTTCTGGTATATTTCTTTTATTTGCTTGCCTTGTTCTCTCTTCCCTAGCCTAAGTTACTGAGTAATGACTAATGTTATTTCCTGTGTTTCTGTTTAGGGGAAAAATCCCGAAACATTTTGTCTTTTGTTTTCTGCCTTATGTTTTCCTATCTTTTTTTATTTGGTGAAATACTATTTCTGTCCTATCACCTTGTGTTTCCACTGCTTAAACAATATATGTAAAATAAAACTTCCCGTTATTTTTGTGTAGCCTCTTGTGTATAAAACAATTTCCAGAATCTTCTCCCCATACACGTAGCAGGAGAAGTACTGTCAAGTTGTATTACATTGAGCTGAGTAGTTACAGCCAATATACATCTGTTGTCCCAGGTGTATTTGAGGGTGGAAAACAGGGTAGGTGCTGTGTCTTCCTTTCTGCTGCTGTGAACACTGCAGTGAGGAGCATAGATGGATGTTTCTGTTCTCTCTCATTTTTGTGTCTCTCAGTTTCTGTTATAAAATAGCAAGAGGAGATAGAATGCATGGTACAATGTGTTCTAAGGTATGAATGTGAGTAGACAGCAACAGCAGGTCTTCCACCTGATTTCACTGCAGTCCCTGAGCACAAATTCATAGGAGGAGCTCTGGAGCAAACCAGAGTATCTTAACTGGCTTGCAGATCAAAGCCTTGAATAATCCCAGTCTGCTGTTTACATAGTGGAGTGGGAAAGAGCTTAGGCTGGCCTTTGCCACAGAAGGAAGAAGCCCCCTTGGGAGAGAGACACATGATTTATTTACTTTCTTTGAGATCTGTTTGCAAGTCTTTGAGAAAAACTTAATTTTACAGGCAGGTACTGAAGCCCATCAGCAGTTATTTTTAAATTTCTTGTTTCTATGACATTTCTGTTGGAGGTCAGGGAAGTCTGAAGACTCTGAAGTAAAGATCAGTAGTCCTGACATCTTAGGGTAAGTGCTGCTCTTCTGATAGGCTTGCAAAGTTAGGGACTGCTGCTGAGTATCAGCGTGGGTATAGTGGAGATTAGTCCTGAAGAGGTTAAGGGAAATCAGTATTTAGGCATTGTCTCAGGAAAAATACATTGTCTTTCAAGTGCAGCCAACATTTATAGGATTGTTCTACTAATTTCTGTACTTGTTTGTGCTTAAAGTAGATATGCAATTTCTGCTTTTTTTCCTCACTCACTGTGTTCTTCAGGCTGTAACTGTATGGGTGTCTTTTTGCTCTTCACAATTAGTGTGGAAATCTGGAAGTGCAGTGTATTCTTTTCAATGTGCAGCAATAGTGAATTTGTATTGAGATGTAGCCTAATAATTGTATGCTGTTTTGATCTTTTTTTAGTATATATTGAATTCAGTATTTTCTGTATTTCAGATGATAAAAAGGATATTGACCATGAAACAGTGGTGGAAGAGCAGATCATTGGAGAGAATTCTCCTCCAGATTACTCAGAATACATGACAGGGAAGAAACTTCCTCCTGGTGGAATACCTGGCATTGACCTCTCAGACCCCAAGCAACTGGCTGAATTTGCTAGGTAAGTAGGAACAATGGAGCTTTAAAATGGTGTTCTTTTCAGTGGTTTAATTATGAAACTGTTAGGCAAAATGGTAGATTTAGTATGGCTTATAATTCTATTTAATTATCTTCTAAAACAAGGGATTTAACACAGCATCAGCTACTGTGTTCTGAACTAAAATAACAGGGTTTTATATTCAGCAGTGTGTTCTTCATTGTCTTCCAGTCCCCAGTTCCATTAGGTAAGACAGGACCTAAATAAATTAATTGATAGACTGCATCACTCATTGCTCTAGGTAACCCTGTCTTGGGATTGGACTAGATGGTCTTTAGAGGTCCCTTCCAAGCCTAACAATTCTGTGTTTTTACATGACAGAATATTTCTTTAATGTTAGTAGCCTTAAATTCCTGAGCACCTAAAGATCCAGTAGGTGAAATGCTGCGTTGGGGTTGTTCAGTACAAAATAGTAAAGCTACAGGATTAGTTGACAATGCCACTTCCTGTTCTTTTTCATCTGCTTCTTAAGCTGAAGTTCTTAAATCACGCACTTTCAAGTGCCACTGATAATTGCAGTTTCACAGTCGGTAACTATAGTGCTTGGATTTTCTCGGGTGAGTCAAATTGTCTCTCGTTTGCGTATCAATAGGCTGACCTGAGTGCCAAGGTGACTTTCACTTTCCGGCGGCGCTGGCGTGCCTCGCGCGGGGCGGGGCGGGGGAGGTGCAGCGGGCCCGGCCCTGCTGCAGCCCGTGGCCACCAGAGGGCAGCCGCGAGGCCGCCCCGGAGCCGCTGCAGCGCCGCGCCGGGCTCGGCCCCGTCCCCTCGAGCGCCTCGCAGGGCAGGCGCCGCTGAGTGCTGCGTGTCCGCCCGCTGAGCACGGCTGCTGCCTGTCTCTGGCTGCCGCTGCCGCACTGTCCCAGGATGGAAGCAAAACAGCTGAAAAGCCACATTCATTTTCATTTTTGTAGCAGCTGGCAGAGCTTGGGTGCACGATTCTGATGCTCAGAGCAGGTGGACAGTCACATGTTGTCATCCTTACTACCTAGTAGAGAAACAGTGTACCTTTTTCCAGGTAGCTGCTAGGTGGTCTGGCTTCTTCTTTAGGTGGATCTTGGTGTTCAGTGTTTGCATGTCACCCTAATTTTTAAAGATTTTCTAAGCCTTCTGATATTTACATTCTTGTAACGAACTTTCTCACACACTTCATGTAAATAACTTATTGTTTTGCATTCTTTTATGGAGGAAGAGAAATTTGATGGACTTGGTTTTGTCCATTGTCATTGGAGAGGTGGTACTTTCACCCTCCAATCCACCGTCACTTTTGGAAATCTATAAATGTTGGAGTCAGAAAATAAACTTCTGTTTTTACCTTGGAAAGAGCAGCCAGTCTGCATTGTGTTGTTTGGTGTCCTGTAGTGACATTTGCATTTATTCCCGTTTGACCTTTTTGATCTTGCTGCTTTTTACAGGTTTTGTCCTGTTACTCTGTAGTGTGTTTGTGCTGCAGGAATAACAGCACAGCCTCATCCCACAATTACTTTCAATAAAGCCATTGAACTATGAGTTTTGAAGGCTCCTGGTAAAATAGTTCTGTAGGGCTTGCTTCCTGCTTCAGACTGTCTGATCTGGAAATGTGTAAAAGCACATTACAAACAGCTGAAAACAGGGTTTTATCTGAAGTGATGGGTGGTTCTACCTATTGATACTCTTTATGTTTTACTGTCATTTATCAAAGTTACTATAATGCTATCTGAGACCTGCTGAGGAGTTCATAAATTTTTTTTTGAAAGCAAATGTTTAAGTGATACTCCTGAGTGTACATAGTGTTCCAATTCTAAACTGTTACTTATATGTTTCTACTCATCGTGTGCTTAGAATGGTGTTCTCCGTTACTTTAAAACATGCTGAAACTTTACTCTGGTTCTATTAGACATTGAAGTACTGAATAGCTCTCTTTAGGAAGCAGAAATAGTTTCTTGCAGGATATTCTCCATGCAAATACTGAATATTTTTTCTTCAGATTGACTTGAATACTTGAAATGGTTGTCAGGATTTGGGGTTCTTGAAATGACCAGGCTGCTTCTATCAGATGTGTCTGCATATTTCTGAATATTGTGGAATGTTTCAGTTAGGTTTCTGTTGAGAAAATAGTGGCTGCTGGCAACATTTCAAAATTATTACTTTTCTATATTTATAGTATTTCAGAATGTTCTAGGAAGTTCCAGAGCTGGAATTTGTAGCATGTAGTGGAAAGATTCAGTTTTATGTGTACAGCCTCTTTTCTCACAGCAGATAAAATGTAATCCATTTCAGTCAGAAGATGAATGTGTGGTGGTAGAGGAAGCCCCTTGCGTGGATATCACCTTTAGTAATATCCCCAAGTTGCTCAAAACCTGGGAAAAATTGTTCTCATCGCTTAATTGTAGATACATGAGAATTTAATGCATTTTCTAAGAAAGGTTATTTGATTTCTTGGTCAGAATCGGTGACTGACAAACTTTTACTCTTGCCTTACAGTTGTATATTATGTCTTAAATTATTGTGTTTCTTTTTCTGAGGGTGTGTTAGAATTTGAATATTTCTTGTTAAGGTCTTGTCCTCTTGCAGTGAAATGTGTTGAAGGGACTCCTTAGCTAATAAGATGGATTCAGACTACTGTTCAGTTGTCTTATTGACCTTGCTGTGTGCAGTATCACTAGGAACTTTGCATGGCAAGCTGGAAGAAAAAATTGGGTTTACATGGCTGGAATTGGCTTTGGAGGTTCAAGGAGTACAGTTTTTCATGCTAAAAGAATGTGTTTGTTTAGTATAAAGTTATGTGAGATTGCCAAACATTGCTCATTGCTTTACAGTTCAGAAGCTAAAAATTTTTAGTAGCTGTATTCTGAAAACTTTTAGCAGCACGTGAAGTTGAAAATTGCTTCTAAACTTAAGTGGCTTCATGTGCTGTAAGGTTTTGAATTACAAATTTGTATTTAGATTACTTGAAAAAAGAATTGTGACTGTCCACATAGAAGGAAGTGTGAACTGGCTAGTAAAATTGTATGCTAAGTGCATTGTGTATAGTTGAGAGAAAGTTATGTAGGGTTGCTTTTTGGTTTTCCTTAAAGTAGGAAGGAGTCTCACCATACATTTGTAGAAATTACCTTCTCTGAACCAGGCTGCATCCACTGTTTATAGCAAATGCAGCTTATTTTGATAAATTGAGGATAAATTGATTTTAAATACTTGCATTGATTATTAGGAACAAAGTTCTGAGGCTAAGCTTAAACAGAAAATCTTGAATTCTAGTGGTAGTAGATTTTGACCAAGGTTCTAGTATTCTGATCATGATCTAGTTAGTGAAAGGTAATGCAGGGACAAACCTGATGTTTGAAGTTGTTTGTAGCTCTGCAGGCCTTTAAAAAATAATTCAGAACTGTGGTAATTGAGCAGCTGCAGTGGCCACCAGCGCTCAGAGCTTGGTGGCTCTCGCAGAGTGAGCGGTTGCAGTGTCTCTTGCAATGCAGTTGTCTTTCACTGCCTGGTTTAGAGCATATGCCATTGAGTCATGTAGCAGGAATCTGAATCCTTTAACTGGAACTCTGACAGTTTTTCCTGGAAAAGCTTTTATGCATTCTGTGATTCCATTGAAAACACTGTGAATAAATAGGCTGTGTCAGAACATCGACATGTTCAGTAATGCATAGATGAATGACCAAAAGTTATACCTGGCTGGAAGTTTATCACTTTTTACAGATTACTTTCTTCTGTTTTAGGAGTCTTGAATTTTCTCTAGCATGCTCTGAAAACACAATAAAAAAGAAAAAGGTGGAATTCTCTTGCAGTCATATCAAAATGTGAAATATTAATTGTGAATGATCTGCTCAGAAGGACAGAACCTAATAAATCACTATGTTTTCATTTGATACCTTTGACTGGGAAACTGGAAATCTCTTCAACTGGAGTAAAATGCTTCATCCAAATCTAAATTGATGCTCAGTAGTTAGCTGTGAAGAAATCATAGCTGCTTGGTAATGAAAACTTAGGAAGGTAGTAGGGATATTTCTAGAATGTGCATATGGCAAATTCCCTCAAAGCAAGCTGCTAAAAATGATATCCCTGGCTGCCCCCTCCCTCCTTCTTGTCCTCCAAATACATGAGTCAACTGGCTGAAGACAGCAGAACACAGACATCAGTAAAACAAAGAAATAAGAAGGAATATCCTGTAGCTGGGAAATTGGCACAGTAATGGGTCCTGGTGGTAAAAACTTTATTCTTTGTGGGTTTATTTTTTGCTGATTTAGTATCTTTTCTGAAGGAGAGCCATTGTCAGAACTGCCTTCCTTTCTATCTGCTTTCCAAACCTGTAGAAAACAAAAGAGAGGAAACTGCATTAGAGTTTGAAATAGGACACCCTTCTTAGAAGCGACAAAGCCTTCTGGTCACCCAGATTTATGACTTAGGCCTCTTTATAAGGTGTATGCTTTTGTGTTGGTTTTGTTCCTGTTACAGAGAAGCTTAAAGGGCAGTAAAATGACAATTGCTTTACCCAGTATTCTTCTAGGGGAGGGGACATCTCCTGCTCTGTGCCCCACTGCAGAGGCCAGTGTCCCTGTTTACACATGTGATATTCCTCATAACTGGGACAAACCTAGTAGTGGAATCATGGAGTGAAAGAACTTCTTACGGCAGTTTTCTTCCTAACTGTGACTGAAGCAGGTAAGACACTGGCTGTTCTTGGGTTGAATGTAGACAGATTCCTAGGACACCTTGTGCCACTCCCCTTTCATCTTGTTTATCCAAAAGCCAGTCTAGCCAGTTCCAGGAGTTGTTCAGCACAAATAAACTCTTGCAGTAGCACAGGGCTGTGACACTCAAGTTGGTTCTGCTCAGCAGGGCACTGTAAGGGGAATGGAAGAATGAGGGGAACACATCAGCAATGCCTGTAACACTACTGAGAATAATTTCCTCCACCTCTGACTGTTCCTGAGGAGGTGGAGGGTGGGGGTGGCCATCAGCGCAGGTGAATATCATTGGTGGTCATCAGAGACCTCTAGGATGTGCTGAGGGAAAAAGAGTAAAGCTATTAAGATTAACTTTGTGTACAGAGGGAGGAGAAAGGAGCTGAGAACACAAAACTCCTCAGCAGTGGCAAAAAAAGGGAGATTATGGAGCAAGGAGGAAATTCTATACTGTTATTTGAATTATATTTCCTTTCTTCCCAGCTTTAACACCATTTCTGTGGCTGACTTTTAAAATTACATCAATTGACAAGTCTGTAGGTTATGAACAGGGATTTGGGGTGGGGATTAAGGTTCTCTTAGGGTGAAGTACTCTCAGTTCAGCTGTGTAGATGAAAGGAGGTAGTTAGATTTAACTTTCAGACACACCACAGTGACAATATTGTTTTATTTTGAGAAACTGAGTGGTTTGATACGTGTGATTTCACTCAGTCTTCCTTATGCATGGATAAGGGACTGTGCTTTTATGCAGCTCATTCTGTAAAGCTATTGGGTTGCATGCATTCCTGCTTCCTCTGCTGTCACCCATTCCCTCCCTCCATTCCCCCAGTGCAAGTTAAGACGTAGCCTTTAATTGCAGTGTCCCAGTGACTTGATCCAAAAGGTACAAGGTACCTTTCCTGATTGTCACAGTTAATTGATTTGCAGTTGCCCCTCCTAGGCGCAACGCATATAAACTCATCGCAGAAATGAAAATTTTGGTCTTGCCATGTAAATTGACTTTCTGCAAAGGCAACTGCTTCTGAAATTTCACCCCAGTATTAATGTGTGTATCTGTAGTTGTATTAAATAGTGATATTTGTTTTAGAGTGCTGTTTTTGATTAATATTTCAGGCTAAGAAAACTTGTATGGAGCTGGTAGAAGTGCTCTACTGGGTGGTAGCCAAAAGTCTAACCACCACCAGCATGAGCTACCTGTACCAGTGTAATTAAGATCAACAGCACAGATTCTAGTCTGGTCTCCTTTTGCAGAAAGTTAATCTTAAAGTAAGACCAAAATCTTTTTTTCTAGTACATTGAATATGTAAGTCTTGGAATTCTTCTCTGAGGGATTGTCCATATGGCTTCTGCAGCTTTGTGTGCAGGATGACATTTTTTGACACAATGATCTACTGTAGCTGTGCCTGTGGTGTTCATGCCCTCATGCCTTTAATCCAGATGTACAAAGGGCCCAGCAGCTTCCTACTGCCTGTGGCACTGAGATACAACCTGGACTCTGTTTGACATCTCTTCTTTTGCATTGTCTGCCGCTGCTTTGTTGATAAGCCTGGTTATCTTTGGAACCCTGTGTATAAGCAGAGTCTTGTTCCACATTTTAGGGTTAACTTCCTGTGCTTCCATGAAGAGTGAGAAGATGTAAAATTGCTCATTTTTTAACTGAACCTTTTTGTCATTTGTGTCCAAATGTTTAAGTATACTACTGGGATGATACTGCTTAATTTATAAACAAGGCCTGAACATTAAAAAGACCTGGTTGGACACTCATGTTCTGTGCCTGCTCAGACACTGAACTGAAAAATGTAAGGTCTGTGTTGATGCTGCAGTCTGTCCTGTGTCTGACCATCCAGTTCACCTGCAATTGGTTCCTCAAGCTTCCTTCCTGCACTGGCCCAGGGTATTTTCCTTCTCACTCTTATCTCCACAACCTGCTAGAGATTATACTGTTGCAGCATTTCTTTCCCAAAGATTGAGGTAATACCAGAGGTAAGATGCAAGAGTCAGGAAGAGAATTTAACACAAAGCTTGAAAATGCAGGCACTACCCACTAAAGGTATTTGCCACATCTCTTGTTAGCAATTCTCTTGGTCTAGTCATTCCTCTTACAGGTGGCCAGTTAAGACTTTGGAACAATAGTGGTTTTACTCATTCTGATCGTGTCAGGGACACAGATCTCAGACCTAAATTTTTTTTTGCTTCATTTTTTTGGGGGCTTGGGGGATGACTCAGCCAACATTTAACAGGTTTGATTGAATTAGAAGGAGGTAGTTTTGGCACCAGCTTTGTCTCCTCAGGATGTTTGTTCTCTAATGGAATTAAATCATGACACACTGTTCTCTCCTGTCCCATCTTGTGAAATCATTCTTCTGTGACCATTTTAACAATTGCTCATTTCTGTCCCTTTTCCTGTTTCTTAAAATCACAGAGACATAATAAGGAGAATCCCATCCTAAAGGTAATTGAAAGCTTTCTGTAGGGGTACTGTAAAGACAGCTTTTGTGTGTGTGTGTTTTCCTACAGCCTCAGTACCTGTAGTACTATTGAGTCTGGAACCTCACTGGAGAGTGCTGTCAGTTAGTTAACCCCAGTCACTTGTTTGGAGTCAGGTATTTTACTGCTTTACTCAAAGAGACTATGTAAACTAAAAACAGCACAAGTCTAATCAATAAGGTCAGCTGAGTTGTTCTGTAGTCTTGGAAAAGATAGTTGTGATGAAAATTAAGACAATGAGGAGACTGCTGTTCAGGAACAGATGTAGTTTGCTGTATTCTGAATGTTTCTGCCCTTAAGTTGATGAAATCTTAGTTGTACTGCTGGTTGTGGTGCACAAGAGGAGCTTTGTCAACACAAGCACCTTACACCCGTTTGCAAGCCACTGTTAATATCTGTAAATGTGTTTGTAACCCTGCAGGAGACTGTAGTGTTCTTCAGGATAGCTCTGTACCTGCCAAGTGTAGTCTGGACATGCTGAGGCAAGCAAGAGTTTCCCAAGTGCCCACTTAGAAAAAAGAGCAAAAGCAGCCTCTAAATCCTTGGGGTTTAGTGATGTCTGTGAAGTGGCTGTCAAGCGCTTTAGTCTGTAGATGATCACTTGAACTGTGCTACATCTGCAGTACTGAAAGGACTCAGAGTCAGGGACCAGTGATGGTTGACAGAGCCATGGGAGACTTGTCTGTCATATATCACTCCACTGTCAGTGTAAGATGATTTTCCTGGGTCTTCAGGACTTTGAGGGAATTTTTTCACTGCTCTTGCCTTAATTCACCGTCTTCTCTCAGCAGTCCATGTGAAGGAAAAAGGTGAAAGCAGATTTCAGCCATAAGAGTGTGACAGTACCAAAGAAGTCTGGACTCTGCTTGCAGAAACCGAATGCATTTGTGGTTAGAATGGAGGCGTTTATTTTCCCTACAGCTCTTGGGAAGTTTTTGAGTGTTTAAGAGTTGCTGTTTAGCTATTTTCCTATAAATTAATAAAAAGGGATGTAAAAAAGTACATATATATGCATTGCTTGGAAATCTCTTCCCCCAACCTTGTTATTTTACATCAGTTTCCAGAAACAGAACTCGTGCGGATTAAAACTGTCGTGAATAGCAACAGACACTTTTCCTTCTTAACATTAAGAAGAGTGTGTACCAGAACTGGAATTCAGATAATTCCAGTTATTTTGTTGATGTCAAGCTACTCCTTCTATTTGAGGCTAGGGAACACCACCAAACCTGTGGATTAATTTACAGATACAATATGTAGGCGCTTTGTCACACAGAACTGCCATGTGCTGTATTGCCAGGAAAAGCAGTTCAGTAACCCCCATGAGCATACTAGCTCTGCTTCCACAGCAAGATTTGGCATGTGCAAAATCTCATTGCTCACCTGGGGGTATCTCAGCTGCATGGAGGTCCATTTATTTACAGCCACCTACCACTTTAGTTAGATGGAGATAAACCTTTTCTTTTTAATTTTTTGAACACAGCACCACAGGTTTGAGAAATAAAGACACCTGAAAGTGCAGTGCAGTTCCCTAGAATCACATCTGGCTCTTCTGACAGATGGTTGTTCAGGATTGTTTTGTAGAGTCTTACTGTATGTAAAGTAGACCTAACACATACAACCAATAGTTTGCTGGGCTCCTTATGTAGCAAGGGAGGTTAGTGGCACCCATAAAATAATGAGGATCCCTGTCAGTGACCCGGGGTAAATTGGTGATTTCTTGTCAGTTGCCAAGAATGGAATCTGTGTGCACAATACCTTAAAGTAAGAGTAATTACCATTTCTGTGGTTGAAATGGATGACTATATTGTGTTGTGGATTCCACAACCTGCCTGATTCTGCTTTCCTGTTTCTATAGAGTTTTCTTTAGAAGTCTTGTGTGATGGAAATACTGTAGAATGATTGAACCTATACTCCTTCATGTCCTGCACGGATGGAGAGGAAGTGAAGCTAAATAGGTCACATGGGTATACTGGCACAGCACAAATGGAGTTTTCAAACAAAACCTCCTAATTGCAATTAGCGTATGTCAGGGAGGGAAAAAAAAATCTCAATTTCCACATATTCAGAGGATTAAGAAGATAGTATTAAATGTCTTATTCTGTATTTGAGAGATCCTTCTGGAAAGCAGAGCATTCCAAATGCTAAATTATACTGATAATATTTTTATGAAGGTTTTGAAAATGTTAAAGTGAGTACCACTGACACATGTAATACTGGGGGATAAAATATGCTTATTATGTAGGCACTTTGGGGAGAAGAGCTGTCTACCAATGTGTTTCTACTAATATTTTTGTACTGTTTTTTTTATCTTTAAGAATGAAACCAAGAAAAATTAAAGAAGATGATGCTCCACGAACGATAGCTTGTCCTCACAAAGTAAGTGAAGTGCTCAGCTTCTGAGTAGATAGTAATTTGTAGATCAGATTTTTGTATTGATGTTTTCTCTTGAGAATGAATAACTAAAATATCTTACTGTTAATAGTATACACTCAGTTAAATGTATTTTAGTTGTCATTCTCTAGAGGCTTCCTTTAAAACCTTTCACTGAATAATATATTATTCCCATTCCTTGTCTTAAGGTTAGTGCATCCCTAATCTTCTGGTAACCATGATGCACAGTCCCTAACATGCTGGTTTTACTGTTGTGATTTCCCGACACCCAAGAATACATACTTGAAAGAATGTTCTGAAAGCTGTTCAAAGTACGTTCCTAAGATCTATATATCCTCTGCTTGGAAACTATGACAGATTTGGAGTCTAGATCAGGAATCAGCAATTTATGTTGCAGATGCCAAAGTCAGCTTTATTGGAAGACTCTGAATTGCATTCCACAGAGCTGGAAAGTGCATCATCATGAAAGAGAGAGGCAGGCATCCTTGAGATATGATTCTGATCCACTGGTAGCAAGGAAGCTTCTGTCTTGAATAAATGTTGCCAGTCACCTGGATTAGTAGCCTGTGGCTTTACTGCATTATCCAGCTTTTGTAGTGCTTCTTTTAGCTGATTTAGTCTGTGACTAAAAAAGACAAACACAATCTTGCTGACTTCTGGTCTAGATAAGTGTGAGTCTAAGCAAATAATCAGGGCAGATAGCTATTAGAATTATCTATTAGAGAGCATGAATAGAAGGCTACTTTCTGGTATAAGGAATTTTCTGAATTCATATACATTCTGAATTCCTCTTTGTGCTTATATTGATTTCCAATTCTCCACATTCTGAAAGTGTCATGTTTTTTTGTAATGCAGTATGCAGAGATACAGGAACAGTTATTTTTTACTATACTGAGGAATGCTACCTTCATTTCTTTGATTCACTTTTTCATAGCCTCAAATTCATCTAAATGGGGGGGAAAAAAGAATGTTCTATCCTTCCATTTTCTATCTTGTAGTGCTTGTTGGCTTTATGCATTCTATTATTTAATTCAGTTTAACAAAAGAAAAACATTGTAGCTGCACCTGCTGCTCTCAGAGGCAAGAAGGAACTTAGAAATAAATGCAAAAAAAAAAGTTGATGGTCTGTTTACTTTGGCACTGCTTTGCCCCACCCACTTTTGCTGTGTGCAGCGAATGGTGGCACAACACTTCAAAATCAGCCAAAGATGTTTTAGTGCCTGAAGAGAGAATTCCTGAAAGTGACATTTCACCTTTTTTGTAAGAAACAAAGTTTATTTAAATGTATTTGTTTAGGAGAAAAAAAAAAGCCTGCAGAATTTAAGATTAGCAGTTTTACAGTCCTTTAGGTACTGTTAAATATTAACACAGCGGTGTTGGCAGACTAGTTTTATATATATAAAAGTTTAAACAGCATCACTAGTAGTACAGATAGGATTTATGATTATGAACAGGATTTTATGAGCAATTTTGAACCTTGAGGAAGACATTTATAAAACATATGATAGATATTTGTTGATTGTCACTAAGAAGCGGAAAAAATGTAGGATTAGGTAAATAGAGCCCCAAGTCACTGCTGGCTTAAGCATACTCTGGAATCAAAAGTGGCATTCCTTTGTCAGTGCAGGGTTGACCCCCAGGTTAAGACTTCAGGTGCTGTACCTGAATTAATGTGTCTTCTGCTTTTGGATTGAGCTGGGACTAACTCACGCTGTATTCTGCTGCCCAGTATCACGTTGTAGGTTTAATCTGCAGCAGCAGTGGCACTCTCTGTCTCAAGGGGGTAGTGGTCAGGCTGCTGCTGCCAGTTTGGACAAGGTAGTTCCTGTAAGTTGTTACATGCTGGAAACCCTCTTGCTTCATTTTTTCTCAGAAATGGGAAAGACAGAGAAGGAAGAGGACAGAATGTTGGGGGATAGTGCGCATACCAGTTGGTACTAGGGAATAATCTGTGGTATATTAGAGACTAATATATTGCAGTACTGTAGTTCTCAGAATATAGCACTTTGAAGAGTACACCATAGGTATCCATGAACTCTCCTTCTGTCTTTTGTTTTTTTGATTGGATTTTTGTTTTGTGTTTGCTTTTTTCCTCTGAAACCTGTTAAGTGCTTTTGTTTGTTTTTTTCATTTGCTTCTGTCAGAGTCTGCATCTTCTCCATAAGACTGTCCTGTTATTCATTTGACTGCACATGGTTCATAATACTGAGTGAGGAAAGGGTTTGGGATCTTTTTGTTTGGGATTGGGTTTAGGTTTTATTTTGTCAGCTTTTCAAATGATTAGTTTTTCTTGTATTGCTTTTTAAGAAGTAAATGTAAGGGATGTTCTTTTCAGGGCCAACTATTAAGAAAGTATTGAGGATATAAAAGCATTTAAAATGCTTGTACTGTAACAGATAAAACCTTTATGAGAACTAACTTATCTACTAATTGAGTTTCACTGTTCTTTTTAAGGGCTGCACAAAGATGTTCAGGGACAACTCTGCCATGAGGAAGCATCTGCACACTCATGGCCCTCGAGTACACGTATGCGCAGAATGTGGCAAGGCCTTTGTGGAGAGCTCGAAACTAAAGCGGCATCAGCTAGTTCACACCGGAGAGAAACCCTTTCAGGTACTGCTGGCCACCACCTCCCTGGGAACACTGGAGACCCTAGCTGTACCCTGGCTTCCTCAGGACTTGGGCATACTAGGGCTCTTCTAAAATCCCATGAGGCACCTGACAAACTGGGAGTGCCCTTGAGTTAATTAGGCTATAATTTAATTATTTACATGGACTTCTCTTAGAAATTGGCAAACTGAGTGTACATGGGAGATACCTTTCAAAAGATGCTGTAAAGTTGCCCTGTTTAAAAATGAGGTCTGCAGTTACTAGAGAAGTAAGAAAATGTCTATCCTCATCATCTTTTCAGCTTAGTGCTTGTGGACAACTGAGACTTGTGGCTGCTTGTTCAGTTAGTTAGTTCAGGGTACTAATTTTCAGTACGGTTTGTTAATCAGTTTTCAACAAAATGATGGAGTCACTGAATCTCTTTCCATTTATATTGGGTCACGTGGGCTTCTGCCACCAGAGGTCCCCTGCCCTCTTCATATCATACTCCCTGTAAGTCTTTAAAGTTATTCTTAGTCTTCAGTGCATATCTGTTCCCCAGAACATACTTAAGATATGTGGGTCTTTTCTAAAATAATCAACAATAAATTATTTCAGAAACTTGATTTGCAGTCCTCAGGCATTCACTTGGATGCATGCTGAATATTGAATACAGAATACTGCATATTGCATACAGAATACTGAATATTCTATGTGGTAAATAAAAGTAACACTAAATGTGCTGTCCTTTTTATATCAAGCCCATCTTAAAAGTAAAGCAGGTAAAATGAGAAAATCTTTGCAAATCATCACTCAAAGGGGGAAGTTCTGATGTGAAATCCTGTTTCTATTTTGTCATACATGTTTCACATGCAGAGAAGGTGTCTTTAGTGGAAGTGCTTGCTTGCATGCTGGAGGTCATTTATTTCCCTCTTTGAAAATAGGTATGCTATTGTATATACACTATATACTGAAGTCTTGCAGTTTTTAGTGCAGTTCACAGGGAATCCCTACAATTTTCAGCCTCTGGCTTCATGTTTAGCAGTCTAGTAGTGATTTAGAGAAGACTGTTTTTCTGCTCAGTGATGGAGATGAGTTCCACCAGCTAACAGAGTGTTTCTTTTCCTTCCAACAGTGTACGTTTGAAGGATGTGGAAAGCGTTTTTCACTGGACTTCAATTTACGCACACACGTGCGAATTCACACTGGCGACAGGCCCTACGTTTGCCCGTTTGACGGCTGCAATAAGAAGTTCGCGCAATCAACCAACCTGAAATCTCACATCTTAACACACGCTAAGGCCAAAAACAACCAGTGAAAGCTGAGGAGAACGTTATCGAACTCAAAGCATCTTACAGGAAAATCAGTTGGAAAGAAATACGCTCCCCTTTGTATATTGTTTCTAGGAAAGAATTTTAAAAAAAAAAGAACCCTTCAAAACTAAAGGACGTGTTTTGATAAGTAGTAAATAAAAAGCAAAAAAAAACCACACAGAAAACTTGAAGGTGACATTGCTAAGATGATCCACCTTGGTCTGTAACTGCGTTTCAAGAACACGGTGTTTTGTAAAGTGTGGCCCCAACCGGACGGGTCAGCTCACGAACTTGCATCAGAAAAGACAATTCTTTATACAACAGTGCTAAAATTGGACTTCTTTTCACATTCTTATAAATATGAAGCTCACCTGTTGCTTACAATTTTTTTTAATTTTGTATTTTCCAAGTGTGCATATTGTACACTTTTTGGGGATATGCGTAGTAATGCTATGTGTGATTTTCTGGAGGTTGATAACTTGCTTGCGGTAGATTTTCTTTAAAAGAATGGGCAGTTACATGCATACTTCAAAAGTATTTTCCTGTAAAGAAAGAAAAGTTATATAGGTTTTGTTTGCTATCTTAATTTTGGTTGTATTCTTTGATGTTAACACATTTTGTATAATTGTATCGTATAGCTGTAATGAAATCATGTAGTATCAAATATTAGATGTGATTTAATAGTGTTAATCAATTTAAACCCATTTTAGTCACTTTTTTTGGAGAAATACTGCCAGATGCTGATGTTCAGTGTAATTTCTTTGCCTGTTCAGTTACGGAAAGTGGTGCTCAGTTGTAGAATGTATTGTACAGGCACTGACCGTTTATTAACACCTGATAATATGTACATCCCCCATGTAATAGAAAGGACAACAATAAAACAGTGGTCCTAAAGAAAGAATCTGGCAGAAAATGATCTGTAAGCGCAGTCAATTTTCTTTTGTTGTCCAGAGCAGTTCTAGTTCCTCTTGACCTCCCAGAAATTGGAAGCTAAATAAACTCAAGTTTCCTTTACTTTGCATTCAATTACAGTGATTTGTGATGCAGTTAATACCACATCAGGTGGTATATCTAAACTGAATTGCTGACTGTAATTCTGGTTTTGAGTGACCTAGACTTCCATTAACTGGAACCATGGATTTGGAGACTTGGCAGTGTAGTGGGGAGTGTTCTGTGTGCCTGGACAGCAACTAGGTAAAACAGTACAGGAAATAACTAAATGGAAACCTTTTTTTTAGTCAAGGTAAGGAATGTTGGCAGTTTAAATGCAGTAACAATAGAAAGTGGAGGAATGGTAGGGTTTGGGTGATCATACCAGGAAAAAAAAGAAATGTTTCTTTTGGCTAACTTGCTTGAGTGTAATGATAAAAATTCTTGGAACCTTATTGGACACCTTTTGTTTCAAAACAAGAACTTGAAGTTCTAAGAGAACTAGATGGAGTTGAGTTTTGATGGTCTAACTAAGAGTGGTTACTTCTCATTTGTTCAAGTGTTCAAAGAAAACTTAGCATATACTATAGTAAAATGTGACAGATTAATAAACAGAAGAAAATGCAGAGAAATGCATAAGTTATTTTTTAGAGGCATGTAACATATTTTAATGCAGTAAAAAAATGTTGTTAATCTTTTTCTGAATTCTGTTCTTAAAAGGTTCATCAAAGTTTTCATTGCTAATACTGTAAAACTTAATTTTGAGTCCAGTGTTGGTGGTAGTGGTAAAAACATGGGTAATAAAGAAACTGCACTTAAGACCAAGGGAATTTTCATCCATACATAATCTGAACACTGCAACTCTAGTCTGAGGTTATTAGGAGTAGAAAGAAAGTTGGGACATTTAATTGTAAAGTATGCGTTAGAATTTTGGCAGTATTTTTTCTTTTATATATAAGCAGTTTTTGAACAGGACAATATACTGAAACTTGTATAGTTAATAGTTAAATTAAATTCTGTATACAGTTAAATTAGTGTCTATTCTTTTTGGAAGGAAATAAAATTAATTCAGTCTAGTTCTAATTGACCTTATATTTTTTCTTAAGCAGTATCTGTGATGGTGTTAGGCTTACACAGTAGTTTGCTTTCCTGTGTCATAAAATCATTTATTGAATGGCAAGGTGTCAGTACTTCATCCTTGAACATACATTAGGGACCGAACTATGTTACTTTGAACATACATTTGAGAGGAAGCTATGTTAAATATTGATATGAGGACCAACTGGGAACTGTAACAGTTATTGCCTCTGGTTCTATTGCATCTGATTACAGAGACATTTCCATCTAGGCCTCAAATCAGTAGCGCTCCGTATACTCCTGAGTGTAAGTACCAACACTCAGTAGCTTGAAAGGTCTTGCTTTGTAAGTACCTAATTCCATACTGGGTATGAATAAATACAACCATTGAGCAGCTGCTGTAACTTGTTTGAGCTTTTAAAGTATAATTGGCACACCTTGCTTTTAAAACATCCTGCTTCATTGATTGCAGAGTTTTCCTCGAGGTTTTTCAGTGAAGAAATTGCAGGCTTTGAGAATAGCAGCAGAGTTGACTTTGAAACCACCATTCCCAGCGTGCTGTTGAGTTCCTGCATTGTACCACCAGTTTGTGAGCGAGTTCAGGTAAGGGGAGGAGAAGATGAGGGGTGGTAGAAATGTGGGTTTAAAACTGGCAAAAAATTTCCATGTTTACTCATTCCACATGTTCTACTGCTCATTTGATTGCACATATGCCTTGTATGGTTCTGCTGCTGTCAGAATGAAAGGATGCAAACTCAGAGCCGTTTTAAAGGTAGAACTGACCAGACTTTATCTATTTATGGTCTGTCAGTAAATGCAGAACAAACAACTTAAATACTAATTATATTTGGAGAGTGTTTCTTGAGAAGGTTGTAGGAGGACTTCAGATTCAGATTTGAAATGCTAAGATAAATAAATCCTTAGTGAAACAGAATGCCAGGATGTCAGCTGAACCTGCACTGAATTTTAGTTATCTCCTGTTTGAAGAGGGTCAATGTGGAATTGAGGTAGTGCATTTTGACTTTTCCCTGTAGTGGCTGCAAGTTGTCAATCAGCAAAGCCAAATACTAAACACAACAACAGCTTGTCAACAATAATGTAGTTTTAAAGGCAGGTGGAGATCCTTTCTCTCTAATTCCCCGGTGGGTAAAAAACAAGAGATCTAATAATTACCAGAAATGGTAAAAATATTGAGGCTTTAAAATGTTTTAAGAAAGTGAATCCCTTCAAACTGGCCTGGCAGTGATAGTAATAAGTGTTTCCATGTGCTCATCACGTAGCTCATGGGATATTTTGTCAGTATGCCTTGGAAAAACTGGGGCTGGTTGGTTTTTCTATTCAATTAAGGTGTGTGAACTTGAGGACAGTATGTGCTGAATATCATCCTTCCAAGTGATTCCTTAATACCTTGAAGAAATTGAGAAAATCTGGAATTTTCAGGAGGGCTGCTAGGCAAATCTGTCTGGAAAGTCTTAATCAGTCAAGTGGCAGCTGCTACTGGCATTGGTTGGTATGTAATGTGTGTCTATAATGTGCCATCTATAATGTTTTACATACAGCACCTTCTAAAATCTGCTATGTAATCATGGTGTGAGGAGAGGAGTAAAGCATGTTTGTGTCAGCATTGAGCTTTACTGCACTCATGTTCCTGGAGCAGCTAAAGCTACCAAGGGGAATCTGGGGTGGATTTCAAAACTGAATATTGGGTGTGAATTTTGCAGGCAGGAATACAAATAAGAGTTCACTTCAGTATTCTTGTTCCTGGCTGTGTAAATGGAATACTTTAAAAAGTAGCACTTTCCTTGGGAAGAGTCTCAGGGCAGAAGAATGGGAAAGGGGAGCAGAGGGAGTGCAACCCTGCTGCTGAACACAAGGAGCAGAAACATCTGTACAGTGATCTGTAAAGGTAGACATGAACCAGAGCAGGACTGTGCTTTCAATATTCAGTTTGATAATAGGAATTGGTCTAGTGTCAAGTTGCAAGAGTGTGATGATGGCTTTACAGCAATGCTGAAATGTCACCTGGGTGGCTACTGGTTTAATTTTGTAAGGTAATTGAATCAGTGGTCCTTTTCTCAACTTCATTCTCTTTGCCTAAAGCAAACCAGCTTTTATGTGTACTCTCAATGATCCTATATTATTAAGGCAGTTTAACTTAAGAATTTTTTTCAGTCCTTTTCACTGGAAATTGCCTGGAAAGTGTTGAATTTTCTTTGGGGCAAGGACATCAGATTCTGTATAAGAGTTAATGTGAATTTTTCAGGTCCTGGTTTCCCCTAAAGTGGCAGGGAAACATTGTTTTGCTGTAGGTAAATTAATAAGATTTGCTACAGCAACTGCGTTTTAGACAATTCCCGTTTTAGGGTTCTCCAAGTCTTCTGATACTTTTTCCAAGAGAAAAGCTCTAAGCCTGGGTGCTGGTTGGGTACCACAGCTTCTGTAGTGTGTCATGGTGTGGACACGATACTCTTGTGAGCTGCTGTTCTCACCAGGTTCCTTTGTCTGCTGGGAGCTCTCTCCTGAAGTTCTGTCCAAATGTTGGTGAATTTTGGGAGGGAGAGAAAGGGATGGTGAGTCGGTGGCGTCCTTGCAGTCTGTGCTCCTTTTGCCACCACTCTTTAAGTCACGTTGTAGGTTTAAGTGTGATTCCTCTGCAATCGCTCTGGTGTCAGCTGGCGTGTTTCAGTGCTTTCAGTTCGGGAGCTCCCGGGCAGCAGTTTGCCAGGAGATGGCAGTGAGTTACCTGTTTGCACAGCGTGACCAGCAGACTGAATGGCAGTGTCAGGGTGCCCCTGCGAGGTCCAGGGGGTGTCCTGTGGCGTTCAGTGGACCTTGACAGACTTGGAGTGTGCCAGTGTCAAAGAGCAAATTGCCCACACACCACTGAGAAGAGTAAGAATTACAATTGTGTGCTGATTTCTGAGAGTACTGAGTTTACTTGTGCATTCATTAAAAGCACCAGCAAGGCATTGAAAATAAAAGACTATAAATAAAAATTGTTAAGTATGACATGGGTTATATATACATACATTCATCAAATATTAAATGGAGAGTAATGTGGAAATCCAGTGATGAGTGGTGTTAATGATTGTGCTTTCAGCTGTGAGTAGTTGTTTTGGTTAACTGCTGGACCTGTAAAACATCACTGCTTCTCTCCAGCAGAGGCATCCTGAAAAGTCCAAGCTCTTCTGAGGCAGTTTGGGCCTTTGCTTCAGTCTGTTGCTGCTCATAGTGTGTGCAAGGCCATTGCAGAGACTGCACAACAGCCCCCATGTTGCATTGCAGTCCTGCATTGCTGCTCTCCAGGGGATCAGAGATCTCAAGTAACCTGTTTTCCTCCCTGGAGCAGCCCCACAGAAAAGGTGTATTTCAGAAGAATGTCAATAACCAATATTTTTGAGATAAATGATAGAGCATGTGAAGCCTGTGGCATAATATGTACTGCTTGTTAAACAGTGGCAAATCCATACACAAAAGGTCTGGGTGACCAGATAGGTCCTCATGTCCTTTGACTAAAGCTCATCTCAGGAACTGGTTGCAAGACAAATCTGTGGAAAACTGTAGCTTAGTGTTTTGATTTAAGGGCTCACAGAGTCAGGTGTCCTTCAGAGCTGCAAGGTGGACTTGCCAAGGACCTCACTGACCTTGCCCGTGCCAATTTTGGCTTACAAAGGTTTTGACTGCCTCACACATGGGGCATCATGCAGTTTATGCTTTGACTCGTTTTTCAACACATGTATGTTTTTCTCAGCAAAACAGAAAATTTGGCTTTTTGATATAGAATCCTTCAGTTTTCAGTCTTACCTGATGCTTTGACTGAACCTCCAATGGATTTGTATGAATCCAGTGACTCCCATAGCTTCAAAGGGCATACAAATGTTTCTGGTTTGAAAATGGATTGTAAGGAGTAATACTTACGGGAGGTCTTTAGGTTTTCCTCTTGTCTGGTTGGTTGGTTTGCTTGTTTTTATTTTATCCTCCTGCATAGGTTAGGGACAGGGGATTTAATCTCATTTTTTTCCAGAGTGTGAAATAAAAATGTGTCCAGTCTCTCAGTTAAGAACTGGCAGAGAAGCAGGTAACTGCCTGGATTAACTTAAGGGTAGAAGTAATTATTACATTTACCTCCTTTAACTGCAGTTAAAAAGTCTGAACTTCATTACTGGCCTGTTGGAAAAGCACCTCTTATAGATTCTTCCTAAGTGAAAATACCTCAGTTCACAAGGAAGAAGGTGTACGGCCTGGTTGATTGCAACACTGAAGTATTCATAATCTACAGTAAATCTATGCTTAAAATAGTAGATCAGATCCTAGAAAAATATACCAACTTTAATCTGGCCAAGTCAAATTACTTGAGCAACACTTCTTTCTATTCCGATATATATAGGAAATGGTGCAGACCTTGAGGTCAGGCTTCATTATGAGTTTAGTATTTTATTAATTGACACATGAATGTGGCTAAAATTGTAAAGTCTATTTTACTGTCAATAAAAAAATGCAGTGTGCTTCTTTCAGTAAGAAAAACAGTCATAATAAATTATAATAGTGAATGATAACTAAGCAATTTGACTGTGTTAGTTGTTACATTTTACAGACCCTAAGAACATTTTTTGAACATTAGAATTTGACATTCTTCCATTTATATCAATCTGTAGGGCATTAGTGCACACTGCAGACCTTGCCTTGATTTCAGTTTATTTATTGATGAACCTGTACAGCTCAAAATCACTTTCTAGGTCAACTCAGTTAAAACTAGTAATAAACTATAAGTAGAAAAGCTTTTACTGTATCTCTTATGTATTATTGTGCATATTATGCCATTTTTTTTTTCTGTTGGTGATAACCACTTTTGCAGTTTGTGAGGACAACACTAATACAAAAATTGCAAAGCAGTTGCACTGGGAAGATGAAAATGGCTCATTTTCATCTGTTTGTCTCCCCTGGACACACATAAATTCCTGAAAATGGAAAGCAACTATTAGCTTCCCCTTGATATCAAAGGCTGTCTCCCTTAGGTTTGGCCCAGCAAGTTCTCTGCTTCCCTGCTCTCTTGCTGTGCCTCCCAGAGTCCCTCAGATCCTTCTGTCTCCATGGCTGTGATGTTTGTTAGGGCATGTTGGCTTGGGTAAGCTTCTATTTTTTCTGCCTGTTTTTTGTGGCAAAAGAGGGGTTTAACTGCACATTCTGCTAATCTAATAGTGTTTGGCACACTTCTGGGTTTTAAATTGTTCTTTAACTATCCATGGATTAAAAGTCGGGCTAACAGCAGCTAACATTAAACTGTTGACAGTTGTTGTCCACTATAATAATAAATACATTTAATTTCAAAGAACAAACACCTCTTTTCTTTGCAAGGTCAACGTTAACTTTTTCCCAGTATGCTGCCAGTGCTGCACCTGCAGTGGACAGGTTTTCATCTCTTGAATCTCTTGCTACGGTTTGACCTGAACCATATGAAAAGCTTTACCATAGAATCCCAGGTTTGGGTTGGAAGGAACCTTAAAGATCATCTAATTCCAACACCCCCTGCCATGGTCAGGGACACTTTTCACTAGACCAGGTTGCTCAGACCCCATCCATCTTGGCCTTGGACACTTCCAGGGACGTGTTCCAATTCTTCTCTGGGCAACCTTGCCAGGGCCTCAGTACCCTCACAGGGAAGAATTTCTTCCTAATAGCTCATCTCAACGTGCCCTCGTTCAGCTAAAGGCCACTACCCCTTGTCCTGTCACTGCAGATATGCAAAGACAAGGCAGAGTGGACAAAAATCTTGACATGTCACAGACCTGATAAATAGATTTCACAGTAGTTGCTCTACTATAGTAACTTAGTCAAGCAGTAGTGTACATGGGTACTTTTTTCCCCTCTTTTCCTAATTGGACATGTTTGGCATGACATCTAGTTTAAGAACAGGGCAGAGTGACTTGATAGTGAGTTTCATTTTCAGTGATTTTTATGACTGAATTTTTATCATTTCAGTGATTTTTCAGTGATTTTTTCTTAATCCCTTCAGTTACTTGGGAACTGCTTGATAATGGTGTGGAAATGGGGATCTGGGAAGGCAGGACGTAGTTCTGTCTGAATTGGCTCACATCTCAGAAATCTATCAGGAAAAAGAACTGTATCATGATTTAAAAGGCTGAGGCTATTGTCTAGCTTGATTTAGTAGTTAGAAGTCACATGGATTTCGAGCAAGTGACATCAGACTGGGCTGAAAGCTGACTTTAGCCTCTTCTCAGGCTTGTTGAGTAATATCCAGTGTCTGCTACTGATTATTTAAGTTCCAGATGGATGATTTTCTGGAAAGAATGCTTTAGTAAGCACTGCAAGTAAAACATTATATAGCCTTTTTCTGTTTTAATGATATTAGTCTTCTGAGGAGACACTGTTTGCTTATTCCAGGTATTTGTTTCTGTTCCATAGTTCAGTGTTGACCATAGTTGTTGTTCCTGCTGAGAGAACAAAAGGTACTTGACTGGAACTGACCCTGGCCATGGTCAGGTGGAGAGGTGGTGGCCTTGCTGTTTTCTGAGCCAGGAAACTGATGCTTGACAGGGTTTGTGTCAGCCACGTGGATCTGCCCTTTAAGATGAATTAGTGGAGCCAGTACCTGAAATAACCTCTGAAGAGGAGGACATGAACCTACTGGAGTGAGTCCAGAGGAGGGACACAAAGACCAGAGGGCTGGAGCACAGGCTGAGAGAACTGGGGCTGTTCAGCCTGGAGAGGAGAAAGCTCTGGGGACACCTTCCAGTACCTAAAGGGGACCTACAGGGAATGTGGAGAAGGACTTTTTACAAGGGTGTGGAGTAATAAGGGGTAACATATTCAAACTGAGAGTGGGTGGAGATTAGGTATTGGGAGAGATTCTTTACTGTGAAAGTGGTGAGGTGCTGGAACACATTGCCCAGAGAGGTTATGGACAGCTGGTTCCTGATTTGGATGTGACCCTGCAGGGACCCAAGACTTGTCTTCCTCCGTTGTGCAGCCTTGGTGCTGATCAGCACAGATTAAAGCAAATAAATGCAGAAGAGGAAGTGCCTAAGCATAGGGGCAGCTCTTTGGCTCTGAAAGCAGGATTGTTCTTTCAGAAGAGGAAAGCTCAGTTTAAAGAGGTGAGGTCAGGCAACTTCCTTTCTTTGGTGGAGCCTAAGCCAGAGCAAGGCTCTGCCCTTCCCAGTGGTGCACACAAGGTAGATACAGAACAAGTTTTCCCTGGCAAAAACCAGAAACCCCATCCTCATGCAAGCTTGATTGAGCACAAAGAAGCATCTGAGTAAAACATAAAAAAACCACCAAACAATCAAAGGGAAAATTAAAAAAAAAAATTTATTCCCTCAATATATATACAAGAATTGACATACTCCTGTACAAAGGTGTAAATGGTCTTTGCTGTGATTTGTTGTGCATATGCAGCTTAGTAGACAGATTTAACATTCAATTTGAATCTCAGTGCAAGTAGGCACTAAAACATCCACCATACCTTCAAGGTATAAAAAGACATACCAATTTTACAGGTTTCTCCAGCATATTTTGTTACAGTGCAAAATGCTATGAAATAACGCTTCTTTAGAAAATTCATATATATATTAAACACATATTGCACTTGTCCCAACCAAAAGTGTAACAAGTTGTACTTACTGAACTAGTTTGATATGTTTTAAAACATTGCTCACACACACACAATCCTCCCTCCTCGTTCTTTGTGCCAAATGTGTGTAGCTTTTAGCTCAAATCTTAAATAACTGTTCGTAGCTCTTTGGCTAATTCAATTCTTCTTCAACAGACTGGTAAAGAAAATACAGCAGATTAATGTAACAAGAAAATTCTCTAAAACCCTTTCCAGTCTTCTTTCCAGTAGCACTGTAACTAAATACATAAAAATCAGTATTGTTTAAATTCATAATGCAAGTGTATTGAACAGCAACCATTTCAGACACTTACACCCCTTTTTTCTGGAAAGGTATGAAACCTCCAGTCCTAAATACGTATGTATTTCTAAGATACTTCAAGCTGCTAAGCTAACATTGCACCCACAAACATTTTGTGCAATACCACAGGCAGGACTTTGACTTCTGTACATCACTGGCTGCTATGGGGCATGTTGGGAGAAGTGGTGCAAAGTTACATAAACTTCAGAGAACAAAGTCCACTGGACTCAACTACTCAATGCAGTCTGTGCACCCACCAAATGAGAAAGAGGTGAGGGCAAACAACACCAGTCCTACTAGACTTGAGTTTCCCTAAATCCTTACAAGCCTTGAGATTTAAAGAACAAGTGCATTTGAGTGCAGATGCTAACTTTGTGCTTAAGATATTTATTCCAAGCTGAAAGGTCAGGGAGTAACTTAGGTACAAATTCGTTTGTTTTTTACAAATCAGTATGAACAAAGTTGCTACTAAAACCATTGACATATAAAAGCAAAGGGAAACTAAAACACAGGACTAGCTGAATGCTAGTCCTTACCTTTACAGTTCAGGGTTACCTGCAAAATGCCTCCACCACTAAACTTCTTCCCCCTTCTTCACCTTAGAGGAGTGCACTTACTCCTGTCACATACAAAATGAGTATTTCTTTCATGAAAACACTTCTGCATTCAACTCAACTCCATCATTCAGAACCTGAGTGAAAGAAAACTCCATTTCTGGTGCTAGAACACTCTCCAGAGCCTTTTCTGGAGCCACAACAGCAACTTTCTAAAGGCAGGCCCCCCTCTAACTTGAATACTACTAGATGTGGAGTCCTGAATAAGGCAAGATGCTGTTTATACAAGTAGTGAGATGAAATCCTAATTGGATACATTTAGGAATTCTTTATACAGATAGCATAAATCTACACTACCTGTGTGGGTCAAGTGTCCAAGTTTCACAAAACCCAACCAGCTGGGCTTTGGAAGAGGAGAACAAAGAGAGAAGGTTCACAAACTGGAAGGCTGATGGATTACCGGACCTGGCTCGCATTCGGGAAGGCTGTCTTCTGACTTCATGTACATCAGGAACACGGTGACGGTAGCAAAGGTAGCTGCATTGACAGGAAAAGCACGGAGAAGGGTGGAAGTGAGACCTCTGGTGAACACCCTCCAGCCCTCCTCCCGGTAGCTCTTTCGGACACAGTCCAGGATGCCGCTGTACTGCGTGACGCCCCCGACGCCGTCGGCCTGGAGCCGCGATTTGATCACATCCATGGGGTAGGTGGAGAGCCACGAGACGATGCCCGACATCCCTCCAGAAAACAGCAGCTTGGGAATAACATAACTGTCTTCAGCTTCACAGCCTAAATACCGAGTCATGCAGTCATAGGTTAGGAAGTAAAAGCCAAAGCTTGGAGTTTCTCTTATGAAGGTAGAGACCATGCCCCTGTTGATGCCCCTCAGCCCTTCCTTTTGATAGATTTTGATCAAACAGTCCAGAGAATTTTTGTAGTTCTTCGTTTTTAGTTTATATTCTCCTGTTCCTTGAAGCTGCATCCTTGTCTTTGCCAGCTCCATGGGACAGCAGATGATGCACTGGATGGCTCCTGCTGCTGACCCTGCAAGGAACTGGTTCAGAGGAGTGTCTTTGCCCAGAGCACGAAGGGTGTTTCCTTGCACACCGAATACCAGCGCGTTAATGAACGTCAGTCCCATCATTGGAGACCCAATACCTTTATAGAGTCCAAAAGCCTAATGGAAGGAGGGAGGAAAAATCCTTTTTAGTGGTGGTGTGGATAACCTCCGCAAACTGCAGAGCACAGCCTTTCTGGCTCTCCCTTGTACCCCATCTCCTAGGACCACCTTGTTTTGTAATACAAATTTCATCTCTGCCTAGGACACAAACATCTAAGCTATTTAGCAGTACAAAAATACAATTGAAGACATGCAGAAAATAATCTTGCTCCACCCAGACATAAGTTTTCTGGCAAATTTTATACCTTTTCTTTTTAAGTAGCTTACTTGAAGCCTGAAGACAACTTTTTAACAATGCTCCTAAAGTTTCAGCAGTAGCAAAAACACCAATTTCTTCACTCATTGCTTGGATTCTCAGAAAACTAGTTATTTAAATAGCTTCTTATTTTATTAACGAAGTTAGCCTCAAAATAGCATCTTCTTACTTAGTGATCTTCCTCCTAAGGTTTCTGGCAAAGTTCTGACTACAATATCTGCCCTGCAGTGAGGGGAGATTCAGAACATGCTTTATCTCTTGATCTTCAACATTTGTCAGCTTTGTTTTTAACAGCTTTCCCACCCTCCTGAGCCAAAATACACAAAGATTAAAAAAAAATACACAAAGCAATAATTTTGTACTTACAGATTCTTGCTTTATGATGGACTGAAAGCAATGGAAAGTCCCACGGTAGAGAGGTTTCTCTACATTTTGAACTTGCAGACGAACCTATAAAAAGTTGTGTGAGATACCAATTTGTACATCAGGAAGAGCCTAAAGGGTAAGCTACTGTCTTGTACCTATGTGGAGGTTTTCTATAGCAATGCATATGCAAGAGCACGGGCTGGACACTGGAATGCCACGTGTGGCACAATCATTTGAAAAATTTTGTGTGTTTTGAATTAAGCTGGGGGGTGAAAACAAGAGGGGAAGAGGATCATTAACTTCTTGTAACTATTAGCAAACCAGTAAGTGGAAGGGTACATTGACATCTAGAATTTCAAACAGATGCTTTCCAGTACAGGCTACAATAGGGACTTTCTTTAGCTGCCAAGAATACTTCTGTTCACACTAAGGAATACCTGTGCAAACCTGAGACAATTTAATTAAAAAAATATTTGCAAGTCAAGCATGAGATTAGAATAATTTTAAAGGGATGGAAACTTTCTACAATACCCATGGTGTTTCTAAATGCCAGATTGGGGCCCATTCACTGAGATCTGATTTTTTTTTTCCCAGAGGGTAGCTGGGCAGTGACTCTTAAGATGTCTGTCTTTGCATAAGGGAAGGACTAAAAAGCCATTTGTCCTTTTAAATTTTAGTCTATTTTAGTTTTTTAGCCTGCTAAAGGCAAGCAATTGGTGAGGGTGTAGCTGCTTCAAGCCTTTAAATGTTAGCAATCAATTAACCTTTCCAAAACTGAAACAGTATGTTCTGCTGGAGAAATAAATGCTATTGTAGCTGCTGGTCTTAGGAGATCCCTTTTCTGGATGCTTTTTAACCTAAAATGGAAAATTTCACTTCTGTTTTTTCATGCTTATTTGCCCTCAGCACACTTTAAAAGAGTCTCAGGTCTACCTAGCTCAGGCAAAGCTCTGCACTCAGCAATGAACTTAGCTGATTTCCCTGGATTGATGAAGTTATAAATCTTCTTCTGTGTTTGATCTCCTGCATGGAGGGCTGCAATGATCTTCAGAAAAGAAGCTTATTAACCACGTAATGCTGCTGGGCAGCAAACTCCAGGCCAAAAAACTTCAGTCTCTTATTCTGAGCCAAAGAAAAAAAATCTACATATATGTGAAAGATTCCTGAACTTAATTTTTTTTTTCATGGTTGCCTAAAGTAATAAAAACCACCACCACAGCAATGAAAGACCTGTCATCTGTGTGTCAAGAAAACAATTTATGGAGGTGGTTTGTCAGAATCCTATATTCAAGTTAACTTTCTTCAAAGCAAAAAGAAATTGACAGTTTTAGTGTTTTTCCTCCAACATGTTATTTTATGCTTTGTAAATCAGAACTTTGGTTTTCATTGTTGTTTCAGTATGTACATTAGTGTATGCTAGCCATGGTGGGAGGCTGAGATCACCTTGGGTCTTGTAACATCTCAGCATTAAAAGCAGGCTTACAGTAGGATTCAAAGAAAATAAATCCTTAGTCACTTCAAGTGACTTTTGGGGGTAGAGAGACTGTCAAAACTGTTAAAGAAGCAGGTCCACAAGCAAGGGCAAATCTTAACAAGCTGTCACAATTGCACAAACAAAGGTTTTACTCCATTTAGAATTTACTGTTATTGTTTCAAACCTTGTCTGTGACTTCCACACATTAAGGGCTTTGGGGGATTTGCAGCTTAGAAACCTTCTTACTTTATCTTTTCTGCTTGTGCTTAATAGTTTAGAATTAGCCATATCGATGGGCTGAATTTCCTAGTGGCATACAGCTCCCTCTACTTTTGTCTAAATAATTTATGAAATATTAACCAATTTAGCTTTACTGTAGGGTAGAATATTTAGAGTACTGACTCCCCAGGTCTAAGAACGAAAATCCTCCTTCTCCTGAGCACAGTGCTGGTCACACGAGGGTACCCACATCAGCAAATTGCCACGGCAATGAGTGCACATAAAACTTGCATTTTCATGCATGTTAATGGCATACTCAGTAAGCTCTTTAGTGTGTACAGCTATAGGAAAGATGAATCATGTGCAAAGTTCATCCACCTGCTCCCTTCATTGCCCAGTATTCTAGCTTCCTTCTTATGGGAAAACACTGTTACTAAAGTTTTAGGTCCAGTAAGAACACCCAGTAATTTCACATCACTAAAGACTCGCATAAAGGCACTCAAGACTAAATAAAGAAACCCAAAGCACTACATCAAAACAGTCCAAGCATTTAATAATGTGGGAAATCAGTGACTTCAAAAGTATTTGAGCAATGAAAACATCATCCAAGAATATGTAGTGGATAAGACCTCAACAGCAGTGTGCCTGAGATTTGGTTTTAGAGGCACTGTGTGTGGGAGGGTATACAGCCAGAAATGCATAGCAGAAAGAAGGTTCAGAATAAAATTTTAAAACATTTTAAAAAAAGGGATGTTTAAACCCCACTCCCTCCATGCCATAGCTGTAGAAGAGGGACACATCAGTTTAAAATTAAAAAGGGGAAAAGCTTCAAAAGTCTTTCAGTTCTTTACTTGAACTAATACAATTGGGAATAAATTAAGACTGAGAGAAACAGAAGTGTTCACCTGGGCTATACTTACTAGGTAACTCTCCCGTGATGAGGCTTATCTGTCATCTACAACAAAGTAACACTTTTGCTGTTAATGAAGACAGCCCCTAGCTCAGAAAGTAAAGGCAGTTAAAAGCAAAAAAGCAATTTTACACATTACATCAACAAACCAGGGATAAAGAGTTTGCCAGTTCTGAGATCAGCTCAGTTGCAGGTTTTGCAGGGTGACTTCACCAGGTTAATGTCTCCCTTTGTGTCCCACCATCCCCCTCCCAGCTCTGTGAAACATGAGCACCAGCCAAAAAAAAACCAAAAAAGCTTAAATGCCAAGGCAGACTTAAAACTTTGGCTTATCTAAGCAGAGCTTTCCCATTGTTCAGTTATATTAAAAATGCACAGTCTAAGGTGACTCTCAGCTAGCCCTTTAAACACTGCAGAACAATAAAAAGTTAAGAATTAACACATATACATACACAAGTTATGCAATGTCTTTTTTTTTTTTTTTCCTTAAAGGGTGGTTAGTTTTTCCACATACACTGGTGGCTATGCCAGCTAATAATACAAACATTAGTATTTGTTTTAACAAAATAGAGATAAACATGTACAATACCTTCTAAAGGATATGAAAATATAATGTGTCACACTGGATTTCAAAAAAACATTTAAAAACAAATTATTTGCTCTATTGTGAATTGAAATGCTTTTTTTCCAGGCTGATACATCTATTTTGCAATGATACACCTGCTGAAACCAGCATGGGAGCCCCAGTTTTTACAGTTAAATGTTCAGCCTCATGCAACAGAAACTGTTTCAGTTACAAAAAAACAAAAAAAAACAAAAAAAAAAAACCCAAAAAAAACAAACAAAAAAAACCCCATACAAACAAACCACCAACTAAAACCCACACATTGTTACCTTTAGTCTGAGCATAGAATTTTAGCCCTTTTACTGGATTCAATGAAATGATTGATCACCTTCAGTTAAGCATGAAAAACTTGGCAGGATGGGAGATAAAAAGACAGCTGGCCCTGTAGCACCATAATAAAAATTGTGCAAGTCTGGATGATGCTATGCCTGAAAATATATTCTAGAATTCAGCTGAATTATTTAACTGTCAAATGTACCACATTCTGAGCAACAAAAAGACAGATTTTACTGTTTGAGCAGCTTGCACTGCAAGCCTGCAAGGAGGATCATTATCCACTAACTCAGGAATTCTGTATTGAATTAACCATGTGCTGGGATACAGAATGTGGTGGGGTTCTCGGTAACACCATGAGCCCACAGCATTTGCATATCTAAATTCAGCAAGGTAAAGGTATTCCAAATATAGATCTACTACGTGGCATGCTGTCTGCTGCAGTCAAGTGACCTGATGTATTCCTTTAGCAGGGAATACATTGATATCCCTTCTATTCTGCAGTGCAAGACTTTGGATCCAAAAGATGACTCAAATTGTCATTCTGTTCTGAAAAATGGGCTTGGACTTCTGAGAGCCTTGGCTGGGGGACCCTCCAGGAGCTCTCAAATCCTGTGTTTATAGTTGCTGAAGTATATCTAACACACACAACTAACCATCAGAAAACCAATTTTAACTTGGAAAGTTATAAAAATATATAATAATACTTGGAGGAAACAGCCTCCAGACAAGCTCCATACTGTGGGTTTTTATTGACTTCCACCTATGCTACAAATTAAAGAGTAACAGCAGAGCTTGAGGGGAAAACAAAACACCAATCTTTCAACATTCTAACAAAGTGGGTTTGAGTTACAAATGCAGGGAGAGGCAGTTTTAGCAGTTAGTGTTGAACAGCTGCAGAGAAGCAAGTTTAGAACATAATTTACTTTAATGCAAAGTTGTATTTCCAAATACCGCATTATTACTGTACTGAACTTGCAGTTTAAGGCCATGGTTTATGTTACTAAGTTTTCACTTCTGAAGAGCTGGAGATTGAAGAATCTAAAACAGTATTTGTGGAGGCTTGCTCCAAGCTTTCCCACACAGATTTACACTCCTACAGTGTCCAGGGATTTTTTTCTTCCTCCCCCACTGCTTGGAGAAACTAAGTTTTCTACTTAGAGGTGAATATATTTCATAATCAACCCACCTTAACAGTGTCAAAGGGATGTCCCACCAGCACACCAGCAGCACCTGAAATGCAATAAATGCCATGGTTATTACTCTGGAGTTTCTTCCTGGGTCTGGGGCTACAGCAGCCCAAGCAGGACCACCAGCCTGAGGTGTGAGTGCACACCATGGTTGCAAACCAGTTAAGGAGCATCCTACCAAGTCAGGAGATAAGAGATCTATAATTTAGAACCTTCAGGCCAGTACCAGGTGCCTTTAAGCTTCCCAGGAAGGCTCTGAGCCCCAGGCAGGGGTTGGGCTGTGTGACTACAGACTGTGCACACCATATGGAATGTGCAGCCATGACTCCTGGCAAGTCCAGCGGGCAGAAAATGCAGGTTTCCACTAAAACACAATATTTCATGTACATCTCGCTCTGTGCAGGCACAGAAAACATGTGAACATCTCTGAATTAATGCTCTCTGCCTACAGCCTTTCCAGGCACGGCAGCAGCACCTGCAGCACATTACTGAAAACCTTTGCTTTATTCTAGCGCCAAAGGACTTTTTAGAAGCCACACGCAGGCCTGTTAGTTACACCAATCTGAACACAGGCGTTCTGCACACACAGGCTGGAGCAGTGAATGCTCTGGCCCTGCAGTGTGACCCACAATCCCTAATGATCGCTGACAACAGCGGGAGCTGCAGGAGCACCGTCCGCGCTCCTTCCCACGTCCCTGGAGCAGAGCTGCCCTCCCTGCCCCGGGCAGCAGCACAGGGCCTGCCCCTGGATGCTGCAGCCCAGGTTGTTTAAGGCCAGCACGGCAGCAACACAGCCCAAGGCAGAAAAACACCAATGTGCACGGTGCTCGGCACGGAAAGGCCAGCGGGGGCTGACCCCGAGGGAACCCTGGCAAGGCAAGGAGCACCAGGATGAAATCAGAGAGACGCTGAAAAAAGGAATTTTAAACACGTTTGCCAGATTGGCAAGAAAAACAGCAAGCGCAAATACCCGAAAAGACGCGAGAATAAGTCTCCTGAACACAATTTAATAACTGCTAAATATAGCAGGCGGCAGGCCGGCCGCAGACGCGCGGGGAAGCGCAGCACGCGTGTCCGTGTTCGCCCCTCTCCATCTTAAAGCTGCCCAGGGTCGCTGTGCTCAGGTCGGGGTTCCCGACCGCCCCGCTGTCCCTGTGCTCGCCCAGACCCCCATCCCCATCCCCCGCTCCTCCCAGCCCGCTCGGGCAGCCCCGGCAGGGCCCGGAGGGCTCGGTGCGCACCCCGGCCCCCGAGAGCTTCCCCCGGCCGGGCTCGGCCCGGCTGCAGCGGGGCCGCTCCTATCGCCCGAGCACCATCCTCCGCTCCCAAAATAACAGCGCCGCGCCCAGCCCTGCCCGCCGACCTGCCTGCCTTTCTTCCGCATTTTAAAAACATTTCGCTCTTTCCCCTTCTACGCCTCTTCTCTATTTCCTACCTTCTTACGTTTCTCCCCTTACTCCCCTTTTCCTTTTTTAGCTATTTTTCTGCTTGCTTTTTCTATTATTCTTTTCCTCTCACCCCCTTCCCCCTCTCTTTCCTTTCCCTTTTTTCTCCCCCTTCCCCACCATACTTTAATGATTATTTCATCCCCCCGCAGACCCCGGTGCTCACCGCCAACGCATCCCGCCAGGAAATCCAGAGCCATGCCGGCACCGCGGGCCCTGCGCGCCGCCGCTCCGCACTCTGCCGCCGCGCACCCCCCGCCCGGCCCTTTCTACCCTTGCGAGGGGCCGGGCCGCGCCTCCGGGGGCGGGGGCCGAGGGACAACTCCCCCCAGGCCGCCCCCAGCACTGGCGGCAGCGCGGGGGCGGCTCCCGGCGTGATGGAGATGCCGGTGCCGGGTATGCTGAGAGCGCGCTTCCCTTCGGTACCTCCGGCACCTCCCTTTCCCCCCGCCTTCAACCTGTCATTTCTTTCTCTGCTACAGCTGCATTATGAATCAGAAGGAAAGGCTGAGAAAAAATTGGGAGGCTGGGGAAATGGTGGTTGGAGGGTGGAGGGGGTAGAGCATCCCTCTTGTAGAGCATCAGTAGCAGCTCAGTTGTTTTGGGTGCCCGGGGAGGCTGTTCTGGAGGCCTTGCTTCCTGGGAGGGGCATCCCTGGGTGCTTGTGGCTGGAAAGCCTGAGGAGCTGGTAGCGTGAGGCCTTTGGAGAGGGTGCCCCCCTTTAACAGGGGTAAAATGCCTGCCAGAGCCGTTATAAGGAAAGGCAGGGCTGTTCAGCATGGAGAAGAGAAGGCTCCAGTGAGACCTTCACAGGACGGCTTGGGCTGGAAGGGACCACAGTGGGTCATCCTGTCCAGTCTTCCTGCTTAAGCAGGGTCACCCTGAGCATGTGGCATAGGATTGCATCCAGCTGCTTCTTGAATACCTTCACTGAGGGGAAACTCCAGGCCATTTCCAGGAAATCTGTTCTGGTCTGCAATTACTGCGCAGTAAAGGAGTTTTCATGTTCAGGTAGAACTTCCTGTGCATCCGTTTCTGCCCATTGTCTCTTGCTCAGCACCACCAATAAGAGCCTGGGTCCATCCTCTTGACACCCTCCCTTCAGATGCTCACAGACATTGACTGAGTCCCTTCTCAATGGTTTCTTCTCAAGGCTGAGCAGGCCCAGCTCCATCAGCCTGAGAGACGTATTCCTGTTCCTGGATCAACTTCGTTGCCCTTTGCTGACTCACTCCTGGAGCTCAGTGACCCTCTTGTGCTGAGCAGCCCAGAGCAGGACAGAGCACTCCAGGGCTGCGTAGAGGGGCAGGATCACCCTCCTCAACCTGCTGGCAATGCTCTGGAACATGTTGTCAGAGAAACTGTGGGTGCCCCATCCCTGGAAGTGTTCAAGGCCAAATTGAATGGCCCTTCAAACCACCAGTTCTAGTGTGAGATGTGTGTCCCTGCCCATGGCAGAGGGGTTGGAACTGGATGGTTTTTGAAGTACCTTCCAACCCAAACCATTCTATGATTCTATTTCCAGACTCTTTCCCCAGAATATTGTCCCAGAGAGGGGAGGAAGGGTTACACCAGCAGATATGGGCCTTGTGCTAAATGCTGACCCCATGGCACAATGGGAAGTGTGGCAATGAGACCCTGTCTTTGGGGGTCAAATCCACAGAGGAGTGGCCTGCTGCCCATGGAGCTTTGCAGAGCCCTGGGTCTGTGTTACACCGCACTGCTGCGCCTCACCCTGCACAAGGGGCCTCTCCCTCCCCGCAGGCTTTTCTTGTTCTGCATTAATTCTGCTTTCCTGCTAACATTGCCTGGCTTCAGAGTGCCCTGATGCCAGAGTGCTTAAAGGGGAACTCAAGCTGTTGACAGTTTGAAAAGGGAGCCCTCTTTAAGCTGCTCGTTATTTCTGCAGGCAATGTCTGAGAAAGGGGAATACCAGTGGCCTAGAACAATAAGTAGCCTATTCCAGCTTTGCTTAGAGTAACAGGATCTTCTTCAGGGCCTGCACAGTCTAAATTAATTTTAGAGGGTAAATTCCAGAAGCAGAATGGAAAAGCAGATAAGTGGATTTTTATTCCTTTTTTTTTTAATTGCTTTCCATGGTATGGCAGGAATTTTTTTTAGGTGTAACAGCTCCATAAAAAATCAATAAAATCTTGCAGTAGAATGACACATTGAAAATCAATCCAGCTTTTACCTTCTGTGCAAAGAAAGCACACAAACAAATGAACAAAGACAAGGATGCTTTCAAAGAGGTCTGAAACTACTAGTAGTAGAAAAAAATGAGAATCTGTCCCAGATTAAGCAGCTCTTGGACTATCATTAAATTGTAATTAATCATTGCAATTAATAAATAGACAAGATGTAAATGCAAAACATTCAATGAATCCCTGACATTACCCATATCTTCCAATCCAATGCCCATTCAAGTTCCTTCTCATCTCTAAAACCCATCAAATTGAATCAAGCACCAAGGTGTCTCTAGGGTGCTTTGAGTTCCCTCATTCACATGCCTGCCCTACCTGGGGATGACCAGCTGGTACTAGAGAGCAGGTAGATGGGCTGGTCCTGTCCTCTGACACAGCATCAATGGCTTTGGGATCTGCCCACTCCTGCTCTATCACCCACCTCCTAACAGGAGCCTGAGGTTTTACTGCACTCACACATCTACAGACAGTACTTGAGACCAGACAGAAATCCCTGACCAGTCATTTTTCCTTAAGCATTTTATGCAAGTATAAGTGGAAGTGAGTTTCTGTGACTCTTGCATACCCTGGATCCATGGGAGAAGCTACAACCATGTGCAGAATTTTGTAGGTGAAAATCCAGAGGTTATAGGCCTCTGTCTCGTAGCACAAGGCTTGGAAGGATCAGCTTTGCCTAAAAAGTTCCTGTTTTTAATCTGTTATTCAAATCCTCTGATCTCCCAAGCAATCTGCCTCAGAGGAATTCTCTACCAGAAGTGGTTTCGTAATTCTAATGTTTGCTCAGTGGTCAGGGAAAACATTTCCTCTCTCTTTGTAGGCACTTCTAGGTTATCTGAAGATGGTTTCAGTCTTAGTATTTTCTTCTCTGAATTATATTAATAATTATCTTCTGATCTCTGAATCTCCTTAGCCTCTCTTTATTCAGCTGATGTGGAGTTCCTTGAACCAAGCCCTAAGGCCTTGCTGAGTGAGCTCTGGCAGATTACCCTGGGTGTTTACAGACAACACTTTTGTTCATGTATCTGAATATGAGATCAGACATTCACAAGAGACATAACACAAAACATAACATATAACAACATGATATGATATTGTTCACTTATGGGCAGCCTGTGACACATGATGTGCTCCAGGTCCCTTCTGGTAGATCAGCTGTGTGCCACAATGTTCCCTACCTTGACCTTCCAGGTTTTTCTGTAGTTGTTCCTAGCTGTTCATGCTAAATTGCTTTTTCCAGATTGTATTTCCAGTTTGTCAAGATCACTTGAATTCTAATCCTGCTGTTGATGTTTGTGCAGCCCCTCCCAGGTTGCTGCAATCTCCCAAGGCCTGTCTTGTTCCTGTATGCTTGAGCTGTTTCTAATAAGCTTTATTTAATTTTTAATGTTTTATTCAGTGCTACTGAACCCCATTGGAGCACTTCAGAGGGGTGGCGGCCACTTCATGTACTAGTGCAGAGAACATCAAGGGCTTGTTGGTACAAAGTCTGAGATGTCCAGGGCTGGTTCACTAAGGCATGAGCATGGCTTCAGTCCCACTGGGGACTTTGTCTTTTGTTTGTTTTTTCTTGCTTGGGGTTTTGTTGTGTTTTCAGTTCAGGTTACAGTTGTGAGGCAGTGCTGTGTAAATGTGAGTTTATTAGTCTTGTGTGTGGGTGGGACAGTGAGTCAATAGAGATGCTTGTATTTGTGTGATAAATGGAAGGAAGTGTTAGAGCTCTTACAGCTGGGTAGTAGTTGTTAGATCAAGTATTTTGAATATTCACCCAGTGCCATATGTGTGCAGTATAGATATGGCTTTGGAGAGGACACCTAACCTGACACTGAAGGAAACCAGATTTAATGGTTCTCCTCTTCCCCCAGCCTGTTTTCCTAGATTTTTCAGAAGCTGTGTCTGCTTTGTTGATGTGTGATGCCTCTGGCTCAGAGTGTGACTCAGATGCCTGTTGGGACTCTTGTGCCCTTCAGGCTCCATGGATTAGGTTCATCTGTGCCTGCCTTCCTTCTCATTCTGCTGAGGCTGTTCCAAACACAACTTACAACTGCTGGGATGCCTCCCCTGGAGTGCTGGAGTGAGGGGTTGTGCTTTTCCTGCTTTCTTCTTCTTTGGGAGCACTGAGCTTCCATGCTGCATGGCAAAATGTAGGCCCCTCAAATACAGCAGGCAGAAAAGAAAGAGCCCAGAGCAGCTTGGGAAACACACAGAGTCTACCAGCATGTACAGCAGCTGCACTGCTGTGTGTCTGACAGAAAAGGTTATAACTAAATCTAAGTTAAGCTTCAAAAAACCTCTTACCTTTGTCCCTTTGTCTTTTAGGTGGAAGAGGCTTTGCAGAGGATGCTGGAAGGGTGAGATAGCGGAGGAAATTTCTCCTCATTCCTCTGGCAAGAAGTGACCCTGTTGGCTGTCTGCTGTCCTCACTGGCATGCAGGGGAAATCTGTGAGAAGGTGCTACCAAACTGAAACCTGCTCAAGGGGATCAGGAGACTAGGGAGTGGAACAGAAAAAGGCAGAGAGCAAGCAGTGTGACAGAATAAACACTGCAGGTAAGTATAACATGAAACAGTGGGGCACAATGAAGTAGGAAAGGAACAAAAATGTGGAGTTGTGATGAACTCGTGGAAATTCTGGTGGCAGTGGCATGCAATAAAATATACATTGTTGACTTTGGTGTTACAAAATCTTTCTGTTTGCTTGTGAATTTGGCATCAACAATTGGCCGTGTCCCAGTAGAAATGTCCCACTACAATGTGGAGGGTGGTGGATGAGGGAATGTCCCCTTTGCTCCCTAGAGCTTTGCTGAAGCTTGGCCAGCTCTGGGACCACCTTGCATGGGAATTCTCTTTCACACAGCCTTGGGCCCTCAGACCCTTCTTTAACCTCTAAGGTTAACTGCTGCATCATCACAGCTTCAGCTGTCATCGTGTTACCCAGAAAAATGCATCAGTTCCTCTTTCTATTTTGAGCTGTGTCTGGATTTTGAGCTTCTTCCTAGCACCTTCTTTGGTTCCCTGAATCACTCTTCAAAGTCTCCTTGGGGCAGCAGCTCGCTCTGTGTGCCCCCTGTTATGTGAACATGGGTGGCACTCAGACCATGTGCAATGTGAACATTGTATTTATAGCAGCAAGCTGCTTTGAAGGAAAACCTTGCATTTCCCAGAAGCTGCACAACCAGGCTTGATGAATGAATGCTTT